GAAGAAGCATGGGAGAAGGAAGAAGCAATTGCCTGATCTTTTGACAGCAGCAAATCTCTTAATCATGATTAACATTTTATAATGATAATGTAAAAACAAACAAATATATAAAAAATAGTAGATCACAGTAACAAGTCACAAACCTCGCTTTCATTGTGTTCACCATTTTCCAATTATTTATGTTTTTATGTCTGTCAATATTGAATTATGTAATATACGGCAGGCGCGGATCCAGGGTTTCTTAGGGGGCCCAAATCCAAATGTGAAATTATGCGAGCCAAATATTGGTACATAATGGTGACAAGCAGTGGCGTAATGAGCGAAAACTTTTCGGGGCCGGGGGGGGGGGGGGGGGGGGGGGGGACAAAAAAAAATCCCCATCACTCCCACTTTTACATGCAGGCCACACTGCTCTTTTCTTTTTAAGTGGGTTATGAGCATTTAATTATGGTCAGATGAGCATATTTGAATACCTTATTTGTGACACTGGCACTTTCTTTCCCTTTCTCTCCTCTTTCCCTTTTCCTTCCCGTCCTTCTCTTTCATTTCGGTACCCCCCCCCCCCGATCTACACGTTGTTAGCGGGATTAATCGCAACTGATCTCCCCTTCTTTTTACCCTTTTCTTTTCTTCTTTCTCGTTTTGGTTCCCTTTTAGCTCTCCACTTTCCCTTTCCCTTCCTTCTCCTTTTATTTTGGCGGGGCCGGGGGCGGGGGCGAGAGGTAGCGGCCCTTTGCTCACCCCTCCCCGAACCACAACTTGTTGGCGGGAATACGGCAATATTGATATCCCCCTTCTTTTCTTTTCTTCTTCCTCTTTTTCTCCTCTTTTATCTCCTCTTCTTCTTCTTTTCCCCCTTTTTTCTTCTCGCTCTCTCTCTTTCTTTTGCGGGGGGGGGGGGGGGGGAGGAAGACACATTCGCCCCCCCCCCCTCTGGATCGGCGCCTGTGTACGGTCTACTTTTCCTCTTTCTTCACCTTGTTTCTCATTATATGCTATACTTGTTTTGTTTTTATCTTCTTAATCGTCATAGTTTTATAATGTTTTAATTGACAATTTACTGTTTTTTGTTTACAAATTGTTATTATTATTGATGTGATTTGATTTGATTTGATGTTGTCCCACCGTTCCGTGCTTTCTTAGCGGGCACTGCTGCAAAACTCTTTTTATGTACATTCTTAATTTTTTTTTTTTTTTGCGGCTCAATCATTCTTCCTTTAAAATGTAATCCGATAATGCGTACTTAAATTTGGATTTGGTGGGGGAAAGATTTTTTTGGGGGGTGGGGGGGGGGGGGGGGGGGCTCCGGTTTGCGCTATCGTGAGCAAGAGCGGAAATTTATTGTCCGAACGGGGGATGCGACATTCGGAAAAGTACCGGCTGCCGCGGCTGGGAAAATTTCAAGTCCCCCCCCCCCCCCCCCCCGAATGCACTTTGATAAAATTGCCGAGTGAGCGCATGCAGAGAACAAGAAAAATACTCCCCTCACCCCTTCACTTTCTTTGTTATTGTTGGCGGTATAGATGTGTTTCATACAGGGGTTATTATAATTATGGTGAATGTATGATTGAAATTTTCCTGAAATTATTTAAACATATTTGTGGCTTATTAATTGTTGAAGTTTTTGAGTAGGGCAGGCTACAGGGCAAAACAATGATAATTATGCAGTCTATTTTTTAAAGCATTTTCCCAACATTTAAATTTTCACCAGATTAAAGGATTTTTTTCCACTTTTTGTTTGAATTAGATTCTGTAATGTGAGATATGAAAGTTTAAAAAAAAAAGCGTAGGGATAACTCTGTCGCGATAAAGAAAAAGGATGCAACCCGCGGGGAAACGACGGGAGTTTCCGAGTGTCGCATTCAAAACTGCTGTGGCTCGGGGGGGGGGGGGGTACTCAGATTCGGTTTTGACGGGGGTGCGCCACTCAAGCCTCTTGCGTGTGTGTATTGTTTTTTTTTACAGACGTGTATTAAAGAGATGGGGACCGACCTTTAACGTCACCATCCGAAAGACGTGACTCAGTTTCGAACCTGCGTCCTCAGCTGAATCAGTTTGTAACTTGTGTTAGCTGGATTACAGGCGCACGCACGTCACAACGCCCTCAAAATCTCTACACATTTTTAAGAAGCATTTTGGCAGAAAAGGGTACCCATTTTAGGGGTTTTCTCGAAATATATGCCTTTTTGTCATAATCTTCAGGTGTTCGTCATGCAAACACCCGAAAATTTTAGAAAATTAGGAAAAATGGACCCATGTTATCAGTGATATCTTTGGAAAAAATGGGACCCATGTCATGTTATGCATTTCTTTTTGTGAAAAGCGACCCATTAGAGCGGCACATCCCCGTATGTCTTTATTATGAGAGTAATCCCTCCCCGGGGAAATATCTGAGCCAACCGCTAATCACCTTTTCTTGCGGGGGAGAGAGAGAAGGAGACAGAGGAAGGGAGATGGGGAGGGGTATAGGGCAACGCAAACCAACCTTTACACCATCTCTTCCTTATTTTGTATAAGTTCTGATAAGATTCAAGGGTGGTTATAATTTCCAGAAAATGGACATATACCGGGACCGGGAGGGATCCCTCAGAAAATCAGCGGGGCTACAGCAAACGCTGTATAGAGAAATGGTCTTTTGAGGACACTCCCCCCCCCCCCTCCTCCCCCTCCACACACCCTTTACTGATAGAAAGAACAAAAATCTGCCCGCGCTTATTTTGACGCCTATAGCCCTGAACACAGTGTTGAGAAACAGTGCGACTGTTTTTGTTCATAAAGGGGCTCTTGGGGGAATTGATTTTACCCCCGCTACTCAACTTTTTGGGGCCTTTGTCCCCTCTGCCCCCCATCCCCGATTTCTGTTCGTTTTCCCAGCCCCGGGCCTGCCCTGCTCCCGTCGCAAAAACAAACAAAAATGCATAACAATAAGTCTCAGGCCTCTGAAAGTTCATTGACTCAAGCTCGTCTCCCCAACTTTACTAAATTTAATCTCAACAATAATTATTCTGAGCAAAGTTTCCTCATCTTTATATTGGTCTCCTCTAGTGTTGTATTTAGGGATTAACACTGCAACTGCCCTCCCGTCCAGGCTAAAATTTTCTACGTAATTTTACAAGCGAGTGAGCACAGCGACCGAGAGGTAGATTATTTTATTTTATTTTTGACCCTCAAAAACGGCTATGAATTTCACCCGGGTAAATTTTAAAAGGGAGCACTGCAATCGAGCGGCAGGATTTCGAATTCATTGATAAACGGTTTCACCTCTTTAAGCTCAACGAGTGGGGTGCACTGAAGACAGGAGAAAATTTAATATTGATAATAGGGCAACGGTAGTGATTTCTTTCAGATATTGAACCTCTTATTTTCTTCGCTGTATTCTATTCAAGGGGAGGGGGGGGGGGCATTATCTACAAGAGGCCGGTGATTCTTAGATAACAGACAAGCGCGTAGCCAGGATTTCATTTTAGGGGGGGGGGGGGGGCGGGCGGTAGTGAGCACTCGAAGCGTGCGAATCACTTACAGAGCGCGCTCCCTATTACATAGGGTTTGGTGCAGGGAGGGGGGGGGGGGGGTTCCCTTGACGTTTCATTAAATTATTAGGGAAAGAAGACGATTCGTTGTACCGTTCTCGACTCTTAATCCTTGTCTAACTTCAGTTTCTTTTGACGTTTTATTAAATTATTAGAGAAAGAAGACGATTCGTTGTACCGTCCTCAGCTCTCAATCCTTGTTTGAATCAAGTTCCTCTTCCTCCGCGCGTAGCGCGGAAGCTCCGACGTTTCATTAGATTATTAAAGAAAGAAGACGATTCGTTGTACCATTCTCGACTCTAAATCCTTGTCTGAATTCAGTTTCCCCGCTCCCGCGCGAAGCGCGAAAGCTTTGGCGTTTTATTAAATTATGAGGGAACGAACACGAAGTTGTACCGTTCTCGACTCTTAATCCTTTTTCTTCCTCGTCCCTTCCTTTCTCTTTCTCTTTTTTTGGGGGGGGGGGGGGGGGGGCTACACGCCTGATAACAGGCAGCAAAGCAACTCGGTTTATAACCCACATTCGGAGAGAAAGTACAAGATCCTGAAGCACATCATGCGAGGGGAGCGAATTAGCGACGACTTTTGGGAGATTTTCGCATACTGAAAATACTGAAAATAATTAAAAAATGAAAGTAGGTTGCCCGGCGGATTCAATGCCCATATAATTTTGAATATACTCACAGTTTGCCTTCCCTTTTGTTTTCGTTTTAAAACTTTTAATTGTTTCAATCTCATCTAGTTTCGGTTACACCCAATGGCAGTTCAGCACCGGGGGCACCCTTTGCCCCCCCCCCCCCCCCATTTCATGCCCACTGGAGTCTATACACCAAAGCATAATTTAATATGGCTCTAACGCGCATTTTAAATAATAATTCCTTGTGGAGAAGTTGTTACCCAATTCTTATAAGTAGATATATATAATTAGGGCTATAGTTAGCTACGTTCACACAAAAAATGTTATTTGTGTGTAAATACAAGTAGAAGAATTGCTCCTGTCTTGACAAAACATTTATATCCTAATCTTGATGAATCATTTATTCCATATTTACGATATGCGTTAGTAAAAATGTTATTGTCATAAATGTTACAATAGTGACTTGGACACATCGCTGGATCTGGAGAGAGTGACACCCCTTTTTCTTCGCTCTGACAATCCTCCTAGACATGCAAATTATCTGAAGTTACCCAAAAATTTGCGGTTGTATACAATATTGAATTTGGTAATAAATATACTGATTTCTTCTTTTAAAATGTTTTATTCCCTAAATTTTTACATTATTGAATATTAAAAAAATATTTTTAGCATTTATATATTTTTTAAATTTTTAATGTATATAATTATAACTATTGATAATACTTTTTAGAAATAAATCAGTACCATCAACTTATTTTTTTAAATTGAATTTAGATCGAGATATTGACGTCTTTGCTCAATTCTTTGTAGATTGTAAATACGGTCGGTGCGGTATACGTACTGTGTACTGCTGCTGCTATATTACGCCATTGGGTAACATACGTTGTACGTATACGTACGTATACACACACATCTCTGTATGGAATGAATACGCATTGTTGAGAATTTGGATGAGAGACGGTGAAAACAGCCCATGATATTTGCGGTTAAACAGAACGATTTGGCTCTGAAATTCAGAGTTTGGACTATCTTTGTGATCTGATATACAGGGTCTACAACATGAATGAAAGGCCCGAACGAGGAGACGAATCTGGAAGCGAAATATGGACTTCTTCCTCAAGTTGGGAGGCGCAATGTCTGGAGGAATTGGACCGGGAATTAGAACCAAATTTGGACGAACGTCTCCCGCAAGAGAAACAGTTTGCTTCAGAAAAACTTTGGTATTCCTTTCAGAATTGTGCTAGTGCTGTAACCACATTATATAAAGGTGTGTTAAATCATCAGATTCATATTTATTATATTGTAGGTTTAGTTGTGAAAGAAACAAAAATAGAACTTCTGACTAGGCCTATTCATGTTGCATCTAAATTTCCAAATATTCCAGACATGTTGAGAGTTGAGACATTTTTTTCCAGTTCATCTCACACTGTCTTAATGTTATTTCAATTTTCATTGATTAATTTCATTTTACTCATCGTTACTTCTAGATCTTGTACATGTAACAACGTATAAAGATTTGAGTTAGTAAATTCATGCAATTTCAGAGCAAGTGTCACGCATTATGCGTGAGTGCGTGACGTTGCGCATTTAGAGGGTCTGAAAACAGTCTCACACACGATGCGCGCGCGATTTAAAAAAACGCTATACGTCCGTTATACCCGAATAGCTGATCTTTGAACTTGGCGTCTCTGCAATTTTTATGGTTTTTGTGGTTGAGTAGTGGTCATTTCACGAACATGGCCAGATTACGAAACCACCTCTGCACTGTTACTGCACTGTGACTGTGCCTATCTGGATCTGGACTGGATGTATACGACGATGCATGAGCGATGTGTATGCCTATGGACGTATGCCCAAAGTTCGGGCATGACTTAAGTTCACTTGATCTATCTCAAAAGATCAGTAAGATTTCGAAAAATCTGTATCACCAATCGAAAGAGGAAAATAAGATTCCATAAGACACAAAATTTTCTTTGGAATTGGGTACGAACTACGAAATTTTGAAAATATTAACAAAAGATCAGCAAATTTTGCAGTCATTTGCGAAAAAATTATCAACTTAACGATAAGGGTCTGAAAATCTTCATTTGAGAGCAGATTTTCTCAAAATTTTGAGTAAAAAGTGGTACCAACTGATTGTATGATATCTTGCCTTGCAATTGCAAATTATGATATTTGATGGATCACATTTTTTGATAAACAGCTGTAAACCCTTGTGCGTGAATAAGTCTCATTGTTTTTATGACTTTTTAAGTTGTAACCCATTACACAAAACCATGATAAGCGAGAAGTTCATGATTTTGATTCTATCCGCTAAAATTTATAGTTTTTTTGATGTTCTATCAGATTTTCTCCTAAATTACCAAAGAAGATTATAAGGCTTTATTTCACTCGAGCTGGTTTAAAAAGTAAAAATCTAAGAGAGTGGTCGCACAAATGATACAAACATCATATTTGCATGAAAAAGTGTGTTACATACTTAAATATTAAAATATCTAAATTTAAAAAAATTGATGAAACTCGAGGTTGCTTTGGCGACGAGCGAATCAAAATTTACAAGTAAGAGGAGCTGAGGAGACCATAAGCTCATATCCTATTAAAAGAAGACCCTGATCTATTTCTAGTTTGATAAGAAAGTAGCAAAAATGATATTTTATGAATCACATTTTTAACAATAATTTATTAAATAATTATATGATAAATGTCAATATAATGCTTGGAAATGGAAAATATTTAGAGAAAGACCTAAATGATAATTTTCGTCATTCTCATGGGTCTGTAATTATAGACTGTTTGATCTTCGGCTACTTTTCTATGGTAGACGGTAGACCTGTCACCGATGTACATGTACAGTGTGTGTATAAATAATATTTATCTCATTTACCTGTTAAGGCGTTAAAACCTTATAAGGTTTGTATGCTTTGTGTAATGTTTTTGTTTTAAAAACGATAAGAACTGATCAGTGAAATTAGAGCTTGCAGATCAATAAATGGTTTTGAAATACATTTTCAGTTTTATTTTTTGCTGAGCCTCGTAAACTAACTAAAAGTTACCTTGAGATGGGGTTCTTAAAAGATATGACAAGATTGGAGTCATAAAGGAATTGTCGCGGAAGTTGTTGCTCATCTTGGCAAAGACAGTTTTGTGAAACACCTAGCAGACAAGTTGAGCGACCGCGTTGAGATTTTGTTGATCTTGTTGTAGTAATGACGGTATCAAGAAATGGCCCCCAGTTATATTTGTCATTCAAGTTCCATCTTCCTTCTCCAATAATTTGATCTGATGACGTGTGTCAATGTCAGTGTGTAATCTTGTGATTCATGAGTTTAATACTTCCTTATGAATTGTATCAAGGAAGGTTATGTTTGACAAAGGAAAAAATTACAGAGTTACAGATAATACAGAAATATTTACATGTATACAAAGATTATTGTCATTTTCATGGGTCTGTAATTACGGACCATTCCATCTTCGGTGCCCATTTTCATGGTAGACTCTGACTGATATGTGGACAAATAATATTGATCTCATTTACTTGTAATGTTAAAGATAAACTCCAGTACTGGTAAAAAAAAAAAAAAAAATTCACAGAATCAAACGAAACTTACACTGAGTGTTCAAGATTACAAATAAATGACATGTGCCAAACAATTTTGGAAGAAAATGTATACTGGCTGAGTAATGAGCATAGAAAGACAAGGAAATCAAGGTAGTACTAGCCCCGACACCATGTGTGTTGTCCCATATATAGCTTTCTATGGGAGTGCTTGTTACTTTACCAAGACTCGGTCAAATTTATCATGATTTTGATGACTCCAGAACCTTGCAGTGCACACCAATACTTACATGCTACATGATCAACTGTTTCTGATCCTTTCCACACCTTTTCTTTCACAATGCAATCGCATTACCAGTACTAAAGTTTATCTTTAATGCTTCAAAATGTTATAAGAAAAGCTTGTATGTTTCTATGCTCGTATTACATGTACAAGTACTAGTTAATTTACAGAACTGTTCATGAAAGTAAGAGCTTGGTGATCAGTACCAGTAAATAAATTGTTCTATCAATTTTCTGTTCTTCTGTTTTTCCTTGCCCATCTAGACTAACTTAAAGAGAAAGTCGAGTTCTGGGTAGAGATGAAAAACTATTTGTGAGCGTTATCATTGTTATTATGCAAGTCTGGAATAACATCAGAGAAAAAACTGTTCCCTGAAAAGCATGGCTCTTCAAATGCCTCCATATTCTAAATATGACAAGTTATAGTAATGAGGCCCAATTTTTATGCCACATGTTTGTGTAGTCCCAATTCTTTCTGTGTACAGTGCTTGATACTTTACCAAGACTTGGCCAACTTTCTTATCATTTTGATGACTCCAGAACCTTGCAGTTCACACCAATACTTACATGTACTTGTACATGTGTTACATGATCAACTTTTTCTGATCGAGTCCACACCATTTCTTTCACAATACACTCAACTTTATCTTTAATGATAGCTTGTGATGGTGTTCTACAAGGACATGACAGGTTTGGAGCCCCAATAAGACTCTTGTCTGGAATATTGTTGCTCATCTTGCCAAAGATGGTTCAAGATGTCAGCGATCTTGTCCATATGATGGTTTTATGAAACGACCCTCTGAACACTATTTTGTCTCAAAATCATGTCTTTGGTCTATAGATAGCCTGTAGGTCAAGCGTAGGATATGATTTATTTCTTTTGTACTGATTTAATCTTAGTGTCATTCCAGGTCAAATGATTAAAATCACCTGAATCTTTTCATACAAATGTAGTTTAAACCCCATTTGCCCAGATATACAGTCTACAATGTATAGAGTAAGTTAACTGATCTTCAAAATCTGAAAACCTTAGCTCCGTTGTTTCATCATAAATTAATATGCTGTAGTTTGTCACGTCTTATCTGAACAAGTCTTAATTGGACAAAGTAAACAATATGTAAAAAATTACATTTACTGTACATGTATCAGTAAGGTATATTACCAATATTTTTTACCCACTTTATAATTATAGTGAACTGGAAAAATTGATTGCAGGTGTCTTTTGTTTCAGCATCGGTGTGGATTTACTTGACCACATTGAAGGAAAAAAAATAGAACAGCTACCGTATTCATTGTTCAATTTTAATTGCCTTTTGGTGAGTAAGGGTAGTTAATTCATTTGCTATCTCTTCAATCTCTTTGTTGTCTTTCTAACTCTCTTATTATCTCATTTTATTTTGCAGAACGTCTTAACCAAAGCAATATCCATATACCTCTTTGGCTAGTTTTCCAAAATGCTGCTGGATCAGTCACACAGTTATATAAAGGTGAGTTTGTCTTTCCCTAAGGGTATGTTCACACATGCTGCAATAAATCGCCACAAAATATTGTGTTTTTTTTGGGGGGGGGGGGGGGAGGGGGTCCAGACTGTTGGTGCCCATGTGTTTCCGGATGCCTGTTGTTTAGCCCTGCCTATTGCATTCATTGCCCAAGAATTTGTCCAAGGAAATGCAAGGTGATGACAGTTACAAATTTGTTTTTTCTAGAGATTTAACTTTATCAGTGTTTACTAGGAGCAGTATGTGTCATGCACAATCATCCCTTTATCAAGAGATAAATATGTAGGACAACTCTAATGTACTTACATCACATGGGCCTACATACAGCTCTTAGTCTCATGACTGTTTTCTGTAGAGGGTCATTTGTGTATTGTTGTGCATTTTATGCATGGGTTACAACCAGCAAAATTGATAGCTTGATACTGGTTGGACCAAAGGCGTAAAAGGGCTAAGGGCTTGAGATATGGTGGGCAAATGGGGGAATTCAGCAATGAAGCCCAAATTATTTTTTAAGGGCTAGCTGAGCAGCTATAGATCCCCATCAGTGTTGTATTTGATTTTCACAAAAGTGGGCTTTCTTGTTCAAATGTAATTATTTAGGAATGTACAATCTGATGTTTTATTTGATATTCAAGAATAAAATGATTTTGAATTGAATTCAACAATTGTTTTATTAAAAGCTCTTCTCATTCTCTTCGTCCTGTCTGCCTCCTCTTTCTCCTGCAGAAAGCACAGATGCACAAAAAGGTAGCTTAGATCTAGGTATTAGCATTGGGCACCAGCGCCGCACCCGAGACATCGTGGCCTGGGTCAAGAAGCGCAGAAGACACATACGGCGCGAGGATCTCCTGGCGTTCCTCTGCGGGAAGGCACCACCTGGCAGGATCAGGCCGTCCCACGGAGTACCACGCAGCCCCTCAGACAGGTCGTCCCCCCGCACCCACTCACCGCCTCGTGAGGCCCAGAGGACAGGGTTAGGGGAGCCTGTGGATGACCTTCAGCCTTTTAGAGATGCCCTTGCTCTGCATGGTAGGTTTGGGGAATAACATAAGGCCTGTTTTCATCAGCTCGAGATTGCCAAATATCCCACTATTTGAACTTTCCTGATTGCAAATTATCCAGCTAATTTGCGTCTTCATCAGCCCGAAGTTGCAATTAGCGTGATATTTGGTCGAGGTAATCATCCCAAGATATCTTGGGCTAGTATGCAAAATATCCCGCTATCCCGAAGACTTGCACTATGCGCGAATGCTGAGCAAAATATCTTGAGCTAATTTCTCGAGCTTCAAGCTTCGAGGTCAAGTCTCGAGCTGATGAAGACGCGATTTGTAACTTCAGAATTGCTTCCCAAATCTGAAATAGCGGGCTATTTGGCAATCTAGAGCTGATGAAGACAGGCCTATAGATTTGTGATATGATAAGAACTTGAGTACTGAAATGTGATTTCAATATTCCAAGAATATTGTGTATAGAGAAAAAGTGGTTGAAGAAAGCAATACTTTTTCTACATTTAATGTATCAAAATGTATCAATCAAGACATATTTTCAATTACAAGTGCCCCTAAAAAATGGTTTTATTTGTAATCTTAGAAAACAATAATTTTAGGATATTATTAAGACACTATTAAGAAATATCATTTTCACTTTTTTTTTAAAGATAATACAATTGTAATTCTGATTTTGTTTATTTGTATCCTTGATTACATTTTAGGACTGAATGGGGCAATGGCCAACATTGGGGTTTCCCAGTCGCCCTCTTCACATCACTCATCGTCACGGCGACGCCACTTGTCGAACCACGATCTCTTCCCAGAGGACCTGGTAAGCCATCCCGACTCTCGGAAACGCTCCAGCACCAACATCGCCCCCACGGTGGAAGGATCACCTTCGCACAAACGTTCACGTCTACTATAAAAAAAAATATTTAAAAAATCACCTATACATCGTGTGCCACTATTCTTGAATTTGTAACATATAGCGAAAAACAAATGTGTGTGTACTACCTATGACAGCGTTCACAGACAGACATGGACTATTACTGTTGCCTTCCTAAAAAGATTTGAAAAATAATGAAAAATAGTGTGCATGCACATGAGCATTTGGGCATTTTTATTTTGTTTGTTTATTAATCATTTAAAAAACGATGCTGCACATGTTTTTGTCATTAACCCCTTCTTTGTGTTTTTTTTGTTGTTGCTACAGTAGTTCCACTTCTGTATGTTCTACCATAAAGTCATTAAAAAAAAGCACAATAAGAAAAACTGCATCTCTTTAGATAAATATTCCCTGTTTATGAAATTATATTTGGTCACCATATGGTAAAAGCATGCTGTACACATGTAGAGTCATATACATGTATGGTATACCAAATTTTATTTTGCTTGTTCTGTTGTCAACCCAATAATCCTCATTCGAACATTTCTTGAATTGATTTTATAATTATTTCATTTATCTTTTATATTGTTTTTTATTGTGTTATTTAAAACTTTCATTTTCACATAGCTTCATTTTTTTTTTGGCATTATGATCTATGTTGGTGTATTTATAATGACAATGTGTTTTATTAATTACCTGCCCATATGAAACGTATTAAGAAAATAGATAGTGTGTATATATATATATATGTCCACTCAAGCCAATTTGTAAAAAAAATACTTTATATGCCTGACTTGTAAATAGATTTGTTCGTATATGAAATTTGTTCTACTTGTGAAGTTATATTTCATGTGAATTGACTTTTGACCATTCAAGAGGTACGGTTCCTTTGCTTTGTAATGCGCTAAGTACTGCATATAGGAATGCAAACATGTATGTTTAGACGAGTGTATACCATGTTGGTATGATGGTACGACATATGCTCCAGGGACTCTTGCTACGACATCAACACTAGTCCAATGCCTAATGTCCATCATGGGTCTACTGCTATATGTAAACCTCACTGCGTTCAGACTGTGGAATTCATTGTATAGCTACATGTACATGTACACTATAACTGTACCTAGTGTGAATGATATATGAGGGAACTTCATATAACAAAACGTTGTATTGGGAGACGCATGTTAAAGCATCGTTTCAAACAAGAGTCCAGCTGTAGTCAGAACGCTTATCACTAATGATTGGCCAGCTGTCACAGTGTCATATCATTTGACCTAAACCACAGAGGTGTCGTGGTCTAGTGGATATGTCACCAGACTGTGGATCACATGGTTTGCAATTCGAGTCCCACCATGGCACTAATGTCCTTCGGCAAGTCATTAATCTGCATTTGCCACTCTCCACCCAGGTGAAGTAAATGGGTACCTGGTAGGAAGAAATTCCTAGAATGCTTTAGCACCTTATTATCGCAGCTCAGCTATAATAATAATATGATACTTTGTATTAAGCGCAGTAGAGTATATTCATATAGAAGCTGCGCTATATAACGGACCTATTATTATTATTACCTCTTCAAAACTAGTTTTATTTATATGACGTTTCTTTATACGATGTTCAAGTCTGTACGCTTCTTAAGTCTAACCTAAAAGCCAGTATTTACTCTAACCTCTACCTTATATCTAAGATGAAAGAAAGCCTGGACTAAGCAAATGTCGCTGTCCAGAGCAAATGTTAGAGAGTCTAGTTGCATTTTTGTCAAATATCACAGGTATGAAGGTTTTGTACAAACTTAGTTTTTTATATCAAGGACTAAGCAAATACAATTACATGTTATGAACATCATTTTAGTTCCATCAGTTTTCATGCTATATTGCAAAAGCACTTACCGGTAAATACCTCTCTGACTGTCAAGTTGGTACTTAGCAAAATATTCTGTTTAGCAGAGTAACTATATAGGATGAACAAAGGAAAAACATTGGGGGGGGGGGTGCAGAAAGAAAGGTGCGAATATTTCAGTGAGAACATAATTTTGCTTGTCTTTTGTTTCTTCATCTCTCTCTCTCTCTCTCTCTCTCCTGTTTTTTTATAATCTTTTATCTCTGTATTTCCCCCTCCCTGTCCATTCAAAACAAATTGCGTTAAAGTTTTAAATCGATTTTGTTTTACAATTCCAAAGCAAACTGTGATTCCATTTAGAGTTTAATGTTTTATTTACAGAAAAATATTGTTGAAATTAGTAATCAATCATATTTGTATTCAATTAAAAGCTCTAGATTCTCTTTGAATTGACAGGAGATAACAAGGTCCAGTCAAGCTTTTATTATTTTCCTCTAAAATTTAAGAAATGTGTTCTTGAAGATTTTGAGAGAGGACCGATGCTGAATTTAATGCAGTGTACAAATATTGCAAATGCAAATATTTAGCTCTGTGTAATGCAAGCTTTGTACAGTTTTGAGAATGGTTTCTCTTTCCCTTGTTTGTACAAGTCAGCATTTTAATATATTTGCATAGTAATTACATGTATATATACACTTTCAAAGTATTATGTTCCTATCCTTTTAGTTTCTTGTTTATTCACTTGAAAAATAGTATCTTTAGTTTTCAAATTCTTTCTATTTTTTTTTGCTATGTTTCGCATGTGGTTTTCGAGTACATTGTTTCTATTTTATAAATTGTGTACTGGAAATAGTTTTGAGCCAATACTTTCTTTGTGTTTTCTGAATGTTTTCTTTTCTTTTTCTGGACATTATTTTGATAGAATGTAAAGCAATAGAATATCACATTGCAGTTAAATTGGTGGAGCACACTTACGAGTTGAACAATATTTCAAAATTCAAACTGAATGCGTGTCAATGTCTTATGTTAATTCTGTTTTCAAATGAGATTTGAATGGTAGTATACTTCCTTTTTTTTTTGTAAGTGTCAGCTGTAAGTTTTCAGTGGAATGCACATTGTGAGCAGTAGGTGGGGTTCATGTATATTGCACATCCGGACCCCATTCATCCAACTTGCTATCTGGGCTTCATAATACAAAGCTTAGCAAATTGATCAACAATAGATTTCTGCGATTGATTGCATTGATGACTGTTACGTTACAGTAACTGTTATAAGCTACTGAAATCATTGCATTTGATTGGATGTGGGCAAATTTGTTGAAGAAATATGACAATTGTCATTGTTATTAAAAATATGATTAGATAACATCTATTATAGCCCTTCAAATTACAAACCGGGTATCATATCATATAGTGTATATGTAGGTAGGCGTTGTATATGCTCATAAATCTCATGACTACTACATTGCAGATATTTGTGACAGTCTAAATCTGCTAAACAACTATAACCTAAGGACAACAGTTCATGCAAGAGTGATTGTACGAGATGGATTTTAGTTAATGCATCCAAAAGGAATTCAAAAGAGAATATTGTTTTTAATTACCTCTGATAATAGCAGACAAAGACACAAGCCACACTTGGCAGTGTTAAGTCTTAAAGCAGGGAATATATGTGTGTATCTATGTACATAATTAGATAGTTAAAGGGGAAGTCCATCCTTATATTAAGTTGATGTTGATAGAAACAGAAAATGAGAGAAACAAATCAGTGAAATTTGAGCAAAAAAATAATAAAAAATAATAATGAATGAATTTGAAAAGGTTCGATCAAGCAAATACAAATTGGCAACTCTGATTGTGATGTATATTACTAGGTCCCCTCCCAATTCCCAAGACTCCATATTTTCCCTTCAGAAAAATTTCAATCATACATTTACCCTAAATATAATTATTACAAATAATTATCTAATTCACTAATTTGTTTCTCTCATTTTGTTTGCTTTTATTAAAACCAACTTATTATAAAGCTGAACTTTCCCTTTAAAAAATGTAGTTAGTTCAGTACTGTGTTATTTCTGTACAGTTGACACTATAAATGTGTTTGATAGGAGCAAAGGCAACCTAAATAGTGCATAATATATTTTATTTGATCATTACAGGTAAATGTATTGGGGGCTCGCAAGCCTGTTGGGTTTGTGTAGGAGGGCAATGTATTATGAAATTAAAATGAAGAGATTTGTTATCAAAGGGTAAGTGACAATATTTGCTTCGAGATGGACACTGAAATACTATCAGTCTGTTTTATTTCTTTTAAACATGTGTTTAGTTTTATTTTGATTGAAGGTCAGGTGATGCCAGTTATGAAGGATTCAGAAATACTAGAGATAACTCTGCATAAGTTGAAACTATTAAGACCCCCCAAAATAGTTTGAAGAGTGCAAAATTTGACTTGGGAATTTTAAGTAATACATATTTTGTATACCATAGTTTGGTAACCAAAATAGATTCTACTTTGGAAAAGTTCAACTTGTGCGACTTTGATTTATGCAGAGTTATAAACTATGTAAACTAAACTGTAATTAAATTTCATCAAAAAAGGCATACCGTATCTTTAAAATGTCTTGAAAACAAAGATATAAAGGCGTAGGAAAATTGTGCATTTAGTGTGGAACAAAATACCCATTGAGAGGATCATGAAATATGGTGGACTGCCTCAAAGGAAACTGTGCCTGTACAAGATTTATAGCAAGAGTCACTATTTTTCAGGGGTGAGCTGTGCACAATGATGGTCCCTTTATGGACTCGCAGAACCGTGTTTTACAGGGCAGAACTCTGGATTGCACTTGATGTTTGTTTAATTTTGCCACTGCATTTTTGTTGTTGGTATTTTTAACGGACTATACTGCCTCATACTGTATGAATGGGCACTGGCAGTGAGAAATCCAATTTGGGGAAAGTTGTTGAACCAAAGTGTTTGTCATGACAAAATCATGCAGCTTATTAATTAAGCTGCTACTGTGAAAAAAAGTAACACTTGATATTCCCTGCTTTCAGTTTATGTACCCTAGATGTTGAACCAAACAGCATCAGGATCAGTTAAATTTTGAAACACTCTGCAACTCCCATAAAATTAGCTAATTGAATGCGTATCCATATATACACTTGATAAAATTGTGAATATATAGCCATTTTGCATAAATATATGTTTTATTTGTGAATTCATTTTCTGAATGTGTGATCATATACTGAAGAGAATTTGAACAATTTCAAGTGAAAGCGCTCAGTTGTAATTTTTGAGTGATGCCAAAATTTACTCCTCATTGCAGCATTGTGGTGAAAAAAACAAACAAAAGCAAATGTTCACTTAGCAATGTACTGGTTATATGCTGTGAGATTTGTCAATTTAACATGTACCTGCTAATGAATTAAACAACACTGGTATTGGAAAGAAAAACAAATCTACCTAAAGTTTCATGTATTTGGATATCTTACGGTTTACACAAGTATGTTTTTGTTTCGCATATGAACACATGATTGATGAACAGGGAATTTCGTTAGCACAAAGTTGTAGGGAACATGACAAATTTTGTCATACAACTCTGGTAATTTTGTTGTGTATGTGACTTGTACTCAAATTCGTTTTTACATGTTTTGGAAGATACAAAGATCAGGATGAAGGTGATAGGGTAGATGAGGGTCAGGGATGAGAAGAAAGCAAAGAAGAATGAAAAAGTATGAAAAGAGACGATTGAGAAGAAAATGAAAGACGAGAATGAAAAAGAATGAAGATAATAAGAAAGCTGATGTGAAGTAATAAAGAAGGTAGAGTGGGGGAAAAGAGGATGAGGAGGGACATGGAGCAGTTAGAATGGAAAGAAAGATTGACGAGAAAGAAAGATTGAGGGGAAGAGGAATAAGAGAAGAACAGCATATGGGGATGGAAAACGATGCAACAGGATTTGGAGAAGGAAAACAAAACCCAAAACCTGAAGACAAAGCTAAGAACTTAAAAGAAAAGATCAGAGAAAATAAATAGAATGTGAGAGAAGAACGGGGCCACGCAACTCAAAGGTTTGTGATAAATTGTAAATTAAAAATGATGATTTGGATTGGTTAGTGGTCAGCCATTTGAACAAGCTGTGCATATGACGATCTTAATTGGCCATTCTCATTTTGCAATTGATTGAAAGCTTTCGTGTTACGTGCCCCAGAAGTGACGAAGGATAAGACAAAATTAATTTAAAACAGAAGAGAGTGTTAAAAGCCTGTTCAAGATTAGGGCTAGGTCTGAACCACCTTTTAAATAAACCTGTCATAACAAAATGAATATGTGCAAGAGGCAGCAGGGTAAAGGAAACCATGGCACAACACAACATGGCCCTTTGCCGAAGGAGTCCTGATTTTCAGGCACTAACCTCATTAGCTGCTTTGTGTAATGGTCTGCGCACTGCGAGACTTCATTTTGAAGGGTTTGTTGTAATATATGTCTGAATGAGTTTTTGTTCTGGGGTTGCCATTTATCATCTACTGCAGCACACTCATTTTTCATAATAAAATAAAAGACATTACAAATTCTGTGACTTTTAGAACTTTATTTCCTAACACACCGTGCTGCCCATTTATTACAAAGAAAAAGTTTTGTAGAAAAATACATGATAATCAAATACATATACCGGTACTGAATATCATATACAAAATCATACATCTACAGACAAATTATCAATATGAAAAAATATAGAATATAGTTATAGTACTTTTTAGTTTCATTGATAGATAAGAATTGTACAAATATCAAAAACAAGATGACAAAATATCTAGACGAACTTGGCTAATTTACAATATCTTTAAAAAAGTTTAGAGAGAATGATATCCATGATTGTATATTTCATAAAATCAATATAAAGTATATACCGGTACTACCATTTCATTAATATTCAAATACTAAAAGCAGTGTATTAAAATAATCAAGCAATTTCACCAATGATTCACAATATATAAATTTGTTTTAACTTAATAGCAAAATCCCTTTCACTAATGTTTTAGAGTCATTGTGAATGTAGACAGCAATTCAAACACCTTAAAATGCACACACTCTGTTGCAGGATACCATAATAAAAGTAACAAGAATCTACAGCGAAATATCTTTGAATCTGTCAAAAATGTGACAATTCCTGATCATATCACAACTATACTTATGCAGGCAATCGCATTGACTATAAAGTACTCAGGCCTGATAAAAACCCGATTTAAATCGGTTTTCCAATTTTTTGTTGTTGATTTTTCCTGATTTTTTCCTGATTTTTTTTTCCTCCCTATTTTGTCCTGATTTTCCTGATTTCCCTCTTTTTTTCTCTATTCTTCCCTATTTTGCCCTATTTTTTCCCCAATTTTGTCCCGATTTTCTTACTCGAAAGGGGGGGGAATGTTGTTAGATACCATTTTTTCCCGCGAATCCTCTTTTTTTTTAAAATCAAGGGGGGCGTGGTTGAGGGAAAAACAAAAAACCTATTTTTTTTTAGTGCTCACTATCACCCCTGAGTACTACAATCTTGGATAATTTGGCTACCAAAATTGTGTTATGTCGCAGTAGACCTGGCCAGTGGCCACAGTAAGCTGCAAACTATCCACAATAACTGTATCCATGCAAAAGTATGCTGCAACTGTACATTGTAAAGAATTGAGCAGATTATCACAAACAATCCACATACACGTACAAACATTATTTATAGTAAAACTTTCAATTTCTGTGTTTTTGTTTTTACCAACAATGAGTCTCTATCTTTTTTCGGTTTCAGCCAGTATGATGAAGATTAGTTTTACCATCAAAGACAGACGCAGCGAATTCAATGTACGTACGAGAACGGGTTAAAAACAAGGTATAGGCTATATAAGTACAATTCATTCACTCTTTTTTTTGTTTAAAGAATAATGTTTCAAGAATATAAAGAAAAATAAACAATGTTGTTAAAGCCATAGGAATATAATTCATTATTTGTATACAACTCTTTTTGTGACCATTTCTTATTCCTTTCATGTATCCCCAGTTACATTTCCTATTATTTCTGTTACACCCTTGTGTTACCTTTCTTTTGTCACCACTTACACTTCTATGTTTCACTAATAATGATGATGCAGAAAATACAACGTCATTGTAACAGCTACCACTGCTTTATCAACTAAACTGCAATATAGAGTACTCCATTTTCCTTTCTTTAACATGCCATTCAGTACATGAGGGTTGAGAGGGGGGTATGAACCTTTGTCTTCTCTTATTTCTTAATCCCCTTTCCACTCCTGTAATCTATCCTTATGACTACTCTTTTGTGCATATTTTCGACATTCTACAAAAAAATACCGCAGCCTATTTGACTAAAGTATTTGGAATGCAGCGTCTAGAAAGATTTTAAAAAATTCAGCATCACACAACGATACCAGTTAGTCTCTTTTGTTGTAAAAGTTCATATTAGCCTCTTTTGTTGTAAAAGATTATATTAGCCCCTTCGCTTTACCCTTTCTTTCCGAATTTGTGTGTAGGACCATTGATCTACAATGGAATACCAGGTAGCGCAAAATGAGAATTGTCCCGCTCCAGTTGGATGTTTCAAACTTACTTGGCGTAGGGATTAGGGTATGCACTGCCACCAGTAGGATAAGCTGTTGAAAGAAAATTGTATTTAAACAAAAAAAAGGGGAAAAGAAAGAAAACATAGGGTTTATTGTAGAAATCTGATTGAGAATTATCAATACAGACTTGAAATTACAAATATCACAGTGCATGAAATCTCCAGCAATTTTGGCAACTTCACAGCTTTAAGACGTAGTCATGTTTAGGAACTACAGGTGTAGGAAATCTACATTTTAGAGACATGTTCTCATTTATTTCATGTATGTGCTACTTTTTGCATACACCTGATTTGGTAAAATTACCATGGAATTTACTAATTATTGTGTCTCCAAATTTCACACACAGCAGCAGCAAAACTTGAGTCCCACCTATTTCCTGTACGACATTTTGAAAGTTTTCTGTCTCTTTCGGATTCAGAATATTAGACGATTTACGGGTCATTCGTGAAATTAAAGTCCACTCTCACTCACTCTGGGTGATTGATAACATCTGGCCCCATTTCACAAAACTTGTCATCAGTGACAAACAATTTATCTGTTACAAGATAGTGAAATCCTTGTTTCTGATTGGTTATCAACAGATTTGTCACTGAATTTTGTGATCTGTCATTGAAAAAATGCTTTGTGAAACGGGTCCCTAGTATTGGGTAAATAGCCGAATGCTTTCAAATTTTCCATTAGAAACCATAATTACATGTCTTTAAAGGGCATGTCCACTCCAAAAATAACTCACTTTAAATAGAAGCAGAAAAATCAATTTGTCTAGTGATTTCCAAAGTTTTTCATGTCATCAAAAATTCATAACTTTCTTATTAGTTATCCGATTTTGCTCAAACTTGTTTTCATTGGTTTGTCTGATTTTTCTGCTCCAATTGAAAGTAAGTTATTTTTGGAGTGGACTTGTACTCTAATGAAATAATGGAAGAGGTAATGATTTGTCAGAGGCATGGTCATAGAGCTCTCGGACACTAGTCTCACCTGGAGGCGCTGCTCCTGGGTACCCCTGAGTGGGTGGGTAGGCTCCAGGGGCTGGAGTTGGAGGATAACCACCTTGAGCAGGAGCTGGGGGGTATCCATATGCAGGTGCTGCAGGGTAGCCTAGAGTTCAGAGGTATTCAAAGAAAAAAAGCAACATTATTATCATTATATATTAGGCCAATCATAAAAGCACAATACAATTACATTTGACAGATCATGCAATACATAAACAATGCAAGAGGAAAAGGGAGGGAGCAACATGCGGGCCAGGGCTCACAAAAGTGAATTCAATACTATTACCCAGAGACAAGTGAGCCCTCAGGTGAACATCAGCATAACTGATCATTCTAAAGGCCACTACGAATATAACAAGTGCCGTAATGAGGAAGCATGTGTCAAATCCCTTATTCTGACATCAAAGGAGATATCCTGAATTATCCGTAGCTGAAGACAGTGCCCCAAGGCCAAGGTAACCTGAGGCAAGAGTTTCTTGGGACTACGAACTACACATAGCAATCTATGCCTGCTAACACTTGACAGCATAACTAGGAAACTAGGAAGACAAAATCAGGAAGAAATTTTTTTTTGTCAGTAATGAGAGAGGAGCCTATGTTTTATGATATAAGTTTGAAGGCCCAGGTTGGGAGCTCTGCCGATCAAAAAACTCATAAATCTGAAGCCAGAGCTCTACAATAACATGGGGGGGGGGGGGTGTTTCACAAAGACTGAGATTGACTGCAAGTAACATACATGACCTAAGTTTGGCAGGAATCCATCAATCGGTTCTTCAGATAACGCAATCACGAGAACGGGACGTACGTACGTACGGATCGACGGACGGACAACCGGCTACTTCGTAACGGAGGCATAAAAATATTATCTAAAGATCATAGTGGTAGAGAAAACGGTCGATCAGCAAGTCGATCTTAGTCTTTGTGAAACACCCCCCAGGTGTCACAGGTGATAGGTACCCTGAAGCATATTCTGACATTACAGTTCATGTTGCCACTCACCTGGAGCAGGAGCTGGAGCCCCAGGATAACCAGGAGCCTGAGCTGGTGGGTAGCCTGGTGCAGGAGCTGCTGGGTAGCCAGGAGCCGGAGCATACCCTGGGGCAGCGGATGGGTATCCTGGGTTGGTTGCTGGGGGTGGAGCATGGGTCCCTGTGGGGTAATTGACAGGTGGAGCGGCAGGAGGCGCATGTTGCTAGAATGAAAGAAGGTGCACATTATTAGGACATCGTTATTATTATTATTATTATTTATTAGAACAATCATAAAAGCACAATACAATGACATTTTGACAGATCATGCAATACATACATATATAAACAATACAAGAGGAAAAGGGAGGGAGCACTGGGTAGGCCATGGCTCACAAAAGTGAAATTCAACACTATTACCCAGAGGCATGTGAGCCCTCACATGTTGCTCAAGGTAGAAGTGATATGACATTAATTGCGCAAAAGTCCTGTTTTAAAGCTGTAAAAGACATCCATTATTGTCAAGTGCATGATCATCATGATTTCAAAAGAATCCGCAAATTTACCTCTGCGCCCACATCACTGTGCATGTGCATGTTTTAGCTCAGATACAGTATAAGCACTGCTACATGTGCCTTTAGAAGCACAAAGCTGGGGAATTTCATAAGTAACATCCTTTAATAGATAATACAGGAACAATTGCATTTTGTTTCTGACATGTGGACTAAATAAATGAATTAAATGTGATTTCATTTGACCAATCACTTGGTTAGGATTTAAAGCCCATCTGCACTAGTTTGGCTAGGAGGGATTAGACCACCCAGAAAGGTCACTGACAGGTGGCTATCTCATCAACTCAGATCACAATTAACATAAGAAAAAGAGGATCATGGGGGACCAACAGGCACAGATTACGCATTGTTTGATTTATAGAGGGTGCAGGTAGCTATAAGTAGTCAGTGCAGTGGGGCTTTAAGTCACTTGGTTAGGATTTAAGTGTAATGATCAAACGGAAAAACTCTTACATGGATCACTGTCACATGAGGACCTCCGCCGAAGTGGGGGGGATGGTGAGGGTGGTGAGGGTGGCCATGGTGGTGGCCGGGGCCATGATGATGGCCTGCAGCATGATGGGCGTCGGCCCTTGCTCCTGCCGCTACTCCGCGATGATGAGCCTGGTTGGCTTTGTTCTTCAAAGAGAAATTTTTTACAAAATTAGTCCAGAAATGTCATTTCAGTATCAATAAGTGCCGGGTAAAAGGTTAAATAGTTTGAAAGACAACCAAAGTGTTTGACTGTGAGCTAGTTGTCAGGGTGTTACGTGATTTGTTCTCCTATAATTATCTGTATGTTACTCACCAAATGGAAGTTTAATAGCATAGCAGCATCAAAATTCCAAGACAGAGATAAACCAAAATAGATGATGCTCTTCCATTTAAAACCAAAGCCTGAAAATCATAAATGGTTTGGATATGATCTTTGGACAGGACAGCAAAGCTACAGTATACAATCCTACCCCCCCCCCCTCTCAAAGCAGGGGTCACATTGACAAGGAGTCATCTCTTTGGCCTGTATTCCAACACCATTTAAGCTTGATGCTGGGTTTACACTTGGTCTATTGCTGAATTTAACAAGGAAGTTTGACTCAGATCAAAGTTTACCACTCTGTTACTCATGCCTTAGAACTAGCATCAGCTTGATCTGAATTAGAAGAAAAAAGACTTGGGTTATATTTTTCTTACAGCATGGGGCCACAGGGTTGTCTAGAGTTAACTTTCCAACCTGCCTGTATGAATACTTGTACAGGGGCGAATTTTTCGAAGGAGGTTACCGTATTTGCTGGCATAAAGGCCGCAGTATTTTTGGAAGAGAAAATATCAATAAGTCCGGGTGCGGCCTTTACGCCGAAAGAGTGAAAATTGCAAGTCAAAACAGCACGTCCATTATTTGTAGGCAACTTCATACAAAAAAATATATTAACAAAATTGACTTGAAAACCAAAACACATCGGACAAGATCTAGATCTAGTCTGAACCACGTCAGCAGCAAATTTGAAGAAGTTATCTTTTTAATCGTTGTGCATCCAAAGAAATAAGAAGAAAACTGACCAGATACTCGTACTAAAAATCGTATTTGTAAAAATGTCCTTAGACATTCGACAGCTGATAAGTAACGCGCACGGGTATGTTACCAAAATCATACCTCGCTCACACACTCTGTGGTGGGGAGCTAGGGGGGTGGGAGTTGCTAACAAAACCAACGCACCTTCGGAGATTCACAGCGCGCAGTTTTACCGGGACTCGAAACGTTCGTCTTGGGAAGCTGGCGGGCTAGCGATCGAGATCATCGTCAGTGCTCTTAACTTTTCAGTTAGATAATTCTGAATTATAATTGAGACTATATAATTAATTAAAGCGACAAACTAACCTCGGTAGATCTCTAATAACAATACAAAAGTTTGTTTATTTTCTCCATTTGACGGTACGATAGGGGTAAGACCGGATAACATTATAAAAATGATACATCCTTCCACACTGCGATATCCATGGCCACAGCTTGGATGTGGCAGGATTATATTAGTGCCGACTCACTGCATGCAAGCTTAAGATGGCCATTCAGGTTTCTGTATGCATGCGAAGCGCCCTCTGGTGTCCCATGAATGTGCTAATCTGCCTGCAATACAGTACAAGCTTAAAAATCGATGAAGATTGGCTAAATTATGATCATTTTTTTAGAGTTCTACAGGAAAATTACGATTATTTTCTTTGGTCCCGTTTTTTTTTCCCCTTTATTTTTTTTTTTCTCTACGAAATGTCAAAGTTGGGGGTGCGGCCTATGCGGCGGTGCGGCCTTATCGCCAGCAAATACAGTAAGTTTGTTGTGGGTAGTTGCCTAAAATTGGTAGTGGACTGCAAGAAAGTGACCCCACAGGGTATGGGGGCGGGGCACTCCAGCAAAGCATTAGAGAGTCAATGCTGATGGTGATGCGTATTGACCTCTGGCGCTGCACTCTTCTCACCTCAAGACGCATTGCTCTGCCAATGTTGCCTTTGAGTAGCTGATTGGTTGCTCTGTCATGCAGTCTTTCTTCTTTCCTCTCCTGTCTGGCCTCTTGCTATTAAAACAATCAAACACAGAAAGAAAAGTAAATATTGTTGATTTGGAACAAGTGCAGAACACCCCACTGCACTGATGATTGTATTATAGGCACTAGCAGGGAGTGGCAGTTTGTACCGTAATTAACGTTGTATAAACCGCCCTCGTGTATTAACCGCACCCCTCTTTTTCGCCCTTAGATTAAGTTAAACTTAGATCTAGACCTAGATCTACATGCTTTAGTTTAGTGATGATGAAACAACATCAATAATATATTTCATTTTCATATTCATATTCATATTCATAAATCACCAAGCCCACAATAAGCACAAGCTCAGTCCACACGTCCCTACTATACAGAATGTCATAAAAATAAGTCTCAAGTAAAAGCTTCTAGTTCGAAAACTAAAATCAGAGCCGATGAGGCCCGAGCTCAGAAAATTTGACAACACCCCACGGCCACGGACCGGCCAAGCGTCGCGCGCTGGCCTAGCAGAGGAGGCCAAGTGTCGGACAGCTCATGGGGAAGTTTCCCCGTCATTTTCGGTACTCACCCGTAACGCACGGTTCTCTTGTCGGTGATGATGGGCCATTATTTCGCCGTTAATAGTCGACTGATCTAAAAAAAACTGTAAAATGCCTTTAAATTTAAATATGTCTAGTCACTTTGTTCCGCTCTAACACGTAGGCAGATTCAATTGATCGAATATTTATGAATATTGATCGAAACACGAAGCAACATACAGTCAGCTCTGCTCAGCACAGCGCACACACCTTCCTTATTGTTAATGTTGTAGTTCTCTAAGATCGAGTACCACGTACGTACTAGTAGAACGTTAAACGTGTCGTAGTCTGTTACATGATACTGCAATTCGTTCTTTTTCTTACAATTCTTTTCCCAATGAATTATAGATCAAATTGAAAGTTGCAAATTTTATAAGCTTTTCTTTCTATTATACATATGTAAGTAGGAAGCATTTTTCAAAGTGTATGGTTTATTTGTTGTGTCATTGTTCTATAAAAGTTAAATATGAAGACTAAAATGAACAACTACTTGCGGCGTGAAAAGGCTTAAAACAAAAACAACAACAACAACATCAACATATCCCGATACCAATGACGTACTATTTATTCTGGTCTAGAGCCAATTATCAAATGACGCGCTTTGTAAAAATGACGTATTTCTTTGAAAATACTAGTCATGTGACAAAATACGAATTTCGACAAAAACAATTTAATGTCAGGAAATGACAAATGATACAGTTGCATGATGTTGCAATGAACACTTCTCCACTGATATGACAATTAATGTCACGAACAAAATAAGGAGGGGCGGGGTCGAGGGCGTGGCCGCGGCCGTTGGCACACGTACACGACATCCTCATGTCCATTGCATGCAGTTGAATGAAAGTTAATTCTTTCTCTTGCAATTAAGTAAAGTCTCAAAACACGCATTTCATGCATATAATCATTTCAAAAGAAATGATCTTTTTCGTCTTCCTAATTTTTAACACCAACTTGTTGCCTGCATGTGGATGACATCACACAAAATATGATATCCTATTAGATAATGATTATGAGATCGAGCTATCATATATATTTGACATGCTCTAGCAGAACTGCCAGAACAAATATAAATTTCCCAAGAATGTTCTAATGCAATAGAAAGGCCACCTGTCTAGTGGTTGTTAATACTTTTATAGACAGGATATACTCTATGCTGTAATTGAAAAGGGTATATAAAAGTGCAATATTAAAAATAATATATTCCGTTATACAGCGCCTTTTCATTTAATATATCCAAAGGGCATCAACAAGAAAAAGTCACACAAAAAAGAGAGAACACTATCATACAAAGCTTACATTAATTACAGGCAGACAGGAATATTACAACAAATTAGAAAAGATGTGTTTTCAGAGGGGAAAAATGCAATGCTCTCAAATCCTCAACAACTTAGAGGATTTTTATTGAGGCTTGGATATTTCATGTAATATAATGTCATTTTGGATGAAGGAAACATGAACTTTACCTACTGATTGAATTTAACAATTTTTTTTTTACTGGGGTGGGGGAGGGGGGCAATTACTATTACATTTGCAAACCTAGTGAATCTGAGGCAAACTAGCTGAACAACATTACACATTTCAAAAGATGGCCAATGTAAACATAAGATATATTTCTTTCATTTTATTGTACACATCAATTCAAAGATTCAAAGTAAAGAAATATATACAAATTTTAAATATTTATGTGATTCAATCCCAATGAAATATATACAAAAATATACATGTACATTTACAAGTAAAACTGTCTTGGCCATTTAGCATATATGATGCAGTGAATCCAAGACAGTATTACTTGTAAATGTACACAACTTTTACATTGATCAACAGTGTATACTTGATCATCCTTCTCAGATAGAGTATTTAAATTAAAAGATTTTAGGACACTTTTGAATCATACTAAGAAGGATATCATCAATTCTTGACAAGACGTACCGGTAAGCTTCCACCTAATGTATAAATGTATTCAACACATGTGACATCTGTACATTATATGTTCATACATTGAATAGAGACAAGCTCTTCAAAATGACTTTACATCTCTTTCTAAGTTTTTTTTATTTATGCACAGAGTCCAATCTGTGTTAAAAGGACATTCACAAATATGTTTTGGTTACCTCCAAAGTTTCTATTTGACATTTATACATAAATAAATAGGCATGAAAGAAGTGAATTTGTTTTTTTATTATTTTGTTTTACTACATAAGAACATCTGAAGGATTTAATATATTAACAAGGGGGAAAGTAGAAAAGGTAATGTTCAATGAGATAAAGAATAATACATGAAGTATATTTCTACTGGAGTACACATACATTTACTTCTACAACCACAAATATTATTGATATGGAGGTTTAAATGAATTCTATATCATTGTCAACATCCATTCAACCTTTATTGACTACAATTTAAACATGTACATGTATCTTAGAAACTTCTTAAACATATAGGGACAAGAAATGTGTTGTCATAGACAGGAGGTTCCTGATGCATGCAGTCTCCTAAGAGGCTGTTTACTAGTTAGGGTTACACTCATGATACAATATGAGTAAACATGAAGATGTATCTCCTCCAAACAAAGAAACAAATTGTGCTAGGTCATAAACCGAGAAATGGATGCTTCCAAGCTGTACATTATATTGTTGTAGCAGGGAGGTGAGACTGGTTGTAGGAAAGATTACAAGATATGTAAGAATAGATGTAAAACTAAAATCTAAATAAAAATAGGAAACAAATTGAAATCAACAGCCAAATTTTTTAACAAAAAAAAAATGCATACACAGCAAAGCCCTATATGCTTATGCACTTGTCATTAATTTTGTAAGACGCACCTCTTGACCCCCGGGAATGGTGCGTCATTGTACCGATGTGAGTCGTACATTTTGATACCATGACGCACCTTCCGTCACAGAAAGTGACACACCATTACATTCCATCGACGCACATTTGAGTCAAACATATGACACACCATTTCATGAAAATGACTAGCCAATGACGCACATTTGAGAAACACTTCTGACGCACCTGTTCGTGATAATGACTGACGACCATGACCGGGCCGTTTTCCGCTAGCGTTCGCGTTGTATGCAGCCACCGGCGCCGCGCAAAAGACAATCTCTAACTTGTCGAATATTATGTAGGCCTTTCAGTCACGTAACACTTTCTCTTGACGCTCCAAACGCACTGTACGATCTCTATGTAAACCGCGCGATTCGGGATTTTGGTTGATGGCACCGAGTTTCGGAAATTTTCCACAATGACTAGACTCAGTAAACTTCCGAGGGCTGTAGCATCGATATGATTCGTCTATAGTTTTCCGAAAGACCAAGATTTATTACGTAGAACCGCAGAAATCTCCGTGTTTCACAGGTGAGTACTTTATTTGATGTTTCAAGAAACATTTCGTGGAACATATTCAGATATTCTTTAAAAAAATCTGAAATGTGGATGCTAGAGACAATTTTATGCTGTATTGTCCATTCGTTTTTTGATCAAATTTAACAGCAGTCGCATCCGTGACTGCTTGCACGTGAGTATGCGAGGCATGCGATTTGATGCGTGAACGTTCCATTCCCGGCCCGGGGGGGGGGGGGGGGGGGGGGGGGGGGTACTCAGATTATAGTCGGACGGGGGTGTGCGGCTGAGACCTCCGAACCCATACCCACATCCAAGGGTCCTTTTGCTGAAATAGGTACCCATGTCTAAGGATTTTTTGTCAAAAATGGACCCATGTCTAAGGATTTCAAACTTCAAATATTACATTTTTTAAGCTGTAATAATAATAATACACTCCAGCAAAGCATATGGAGAGTCAACGCTAATGCATATTGACCTCTAACAGTAACACTGCACTACGCGTTAATAGGCAGCATTTAAATACATGAATAGTCAATACACTCATAACACAGAGATGCACACAATCATGCCGATGCGGCTGATCGGCAAGTTCGACAGTGGACTCACAATTTGATTTTTTAAATTATTCTTTCTAACATCGGAAAGTTAAAAAATGTACTGCTATTTAGATCTTATTGATTGTCACGAAAGTATCGATTTTTAGTGAAATTGGTTGAGTTTTACACAGTGGTGTTTGAAATGTTGAGAATCAATACTAATAGCACAGCTTTACGCTTAAATAACATTTTCGCAAAAAATAGAATACTGGCAGAGGCAGAATTAAAGTAAACAGAAAAAAAATATTATCTTCGGCCTCGGCACAATCGGCATCATTTTCACAGTACCATGGCAACAAAATGAGACATTTTTAATTGGTAAAAAGAGCGAGGGAAAAAAGGGGGGCGTCAGGCGGCCATCTTGAATACACTGGCTTTGCGAGAAAAAAAAACAAGCACTTCCGCGGCCTATACAGCAACTTTATTACAGGACAAGGCTGCTTGCGTGCGGGATTCATCGGCCATATATAGCCAAGTCATGCAAATCTATAAAGCAGCATTGTCATACAGGACAATTCTGCTTTATACGATTGGAATCGTCCAAATCAGTGAAAATAGTTTCGCTTCTGTAGATCTAGGCACAATTTGTGAATTTTCACTTCGGTTCGGAAACTGCACTAACTCCTGGATGTCATCCTTTTTTAATATGAGGCTGACAATATTTGAAGAGGATGATGATGAACGTGATCTTGGTGGTGATGAAAGAGAATGATACCATGCAATTTTGGAAAATGGAAATACCTGGTCAAGCTGGAAAGAATTTTTATTTTCCTACTGCATGCACCAAGCCAATATGAGTCACGGTGGGTAATCAACGACCAGGGTTGTGATCAATTACTTTTTCAATACGACACTTTCAAAAAGTCAATCAAATCACAATTACTTTAGCATTCCATTACAATTACCAAATACTTTTGTCAAATACAATTACAATTAGGCCTACCAATTACTTTCACCATGATCGTGAAAAAGACAAAAATGAACTAAAACGGCATGAATTTATGCTGAATTCGCACAAAATCATAAAAATATTGCGTTTAAGAGTATTTAGTCCTCATCATTTTACCTCATGAGTCATCTTCATAATTTCTTGATTCTAAACAGTCAATTGGTCAGATTGCAGATAAAATAACAGAGTTATTGAAATGTAATTGAAAGTAATTGGTAATGCCAGGTTTTTTTTTCTCAATTACAATTACAATTACCAATTTACTTGGCTGTGGAAATTTGAATTACCAGTTACATTACAATTACTCAAGAAAATGTAATTAATTACGGTGTAATTGATCACAACCAAAGAAAACATCGAACTTTGATCGTAAATCCTAATATTTTGCAACTTGAGCTTTCATAAGTGAAAGTACAAAGAAAAAAGACTGACTCTCTAAAATCAAATTTGTTGTCACCTTACTATGTTTTGATTGTGATGATCGTATTATTGATGATGATAGTGGGGAATGTTGTTGATGATAGAAGTTTGCTATGATGCTGATGGGTGAATGTGTCAACGGTGGTGATCATTAAGTGTTTTACTTATTTCTGTTATTCCAAATTTAGAGGCAGCGGAGTGTCCGAGTCTCTTGATGCTGGAATCATGCTGGTGAAACCCTTCACCCCTTGAAACTACCCAGTGACATCTCTGGAATAGGGACTTGCAACTTCTCCCCAAAATGGTGAGTTAAGGGTCTAGCCTGTCAAGATGGATGAGGACTCGGGGATCACTTTAGTGCCTGTCCATCTGTTCATCCTCCTGTGATGCTTACAAGAACTTGAATAATTTGTACTCAATGCCTCATTGTTAATTCAATTATAAAACTGTGATATAGATTGATCATTCAGAATGTGCAGTAGGATGGTTCTAAATTTTCAAAGTTTCAAATACCATGCCCCCGCCCCTTCAAATGGTGAAGTTGGATGAAACACTTATTCTTTGAAATTTTCAGAAATATTGAATATGATTTATTGGTAGCTCAAGAACCCTCTAAATTTGTATGCGAAACAAGTTCCCTGTAGAATCTAACACAAAAATCAATTTGTGGGGCTGTATTAAAAATGTGGGTGTTACGCGTTCACTTTGAAAGAAGTTTGCCGAGAAAGTAATGATCAGAAATTCACAATGTGGTATACAGTAGATGAGAGCTTTTAAATTACTATTCACCCATTTTTTTTTGCGAGATCATGTGACTCGCCGCGGTAACAAAATCATTAAAAATTACAAATTTTGTTAGAAATTATTAATAGTGGTGATAACTTTTTTTTTTTTTTTTCATCTAGAGTCCATGGAATGTCGAGTCTCTTGTTCATAGGCTGGGATGATGCTAGAATCGTGTAGGTGAAACCCCCTCAGAACAGATATTTCAACATTCTTGTTGTCAGGGCAAGTGGTGAGTCCTAACTTAGATGATATTAAATGATGATTATTACGGAAACGATGGTGATGTTGATTGTGATGATGATGATGATGACGATTGCGATGATGATGATTATATTATGTATACATGTACTTTTGATGGCCAAATAAATAATAAGAAGAAAGATATACATGTAATAGCAACAAAATCAAATTGAAGTTGAATGTAGGGAGGAAAATTGTTAAAATTGTTACTCCCCCCCCCCCCCCCCCCAAAAAAAAAATAAAGGCCATTATGCTTTAGATTTTATATTTAAAAAAGAATGAATGAATGGAATTATATTTATTTGTATTAATATGATATTGTATTTTTTTTTTTTCATGAATTGAATTAAAAGAAAACAAATTGAGTACTGACCAGTGCTGATGGGCATGTCACCACTTTGTGGAGACCATATGTACATTCTTACAGCAATAGCATGCATGCCCAATACCCTATAGCAAAGAGGTGTAACATACACATTGATATTCAAATAACTCTATCATGTCTATAGTGGTAAAGATATGTTAACAGTTATCAATCCATACTTGAAATGCTGCGATATGTGATTCTGGGTATCAAATGTTTTATGATTCCAATTTTGAGGCATCCAGGGTTTATTATAATAATTTAAAAAAAAGCAAATTGAGTGCTGACCAGTGCTGATGGGCATGTCACCACTTGGTGTGGCTGTTTTCTTTGTGAGGCTGTTTAAAATTCCGCCATATCTTTCTCATTGGTTTCTCTTGTTTTCTTTCTATCTTTCTCTCACTACAGAATACTACCAACATGAGTGAAGCACAGGCACGTGTCCTTGCCATGGCCATTCTGGACAATGAAGAGGTGATCAAGAAACCTGTTATGGCTTCAACCATCGATCAGGTTGAAGCAGAGTTGAGACAGACGTGCACGTATCTTTCCAACTCGTCCGTAAAGAGAATCCTGGTCTACGACAATTTTTTTGAGGAGTTTGTGGATAAACCAAACCATCCTTTAGAGGACAGAGAGAAGATAAAGCTTTATTTCACATCATCTGCGCCTCCAACAGTCACACCCCCTTTAAGGCCATCAACGTCATCTTCATCCCCCTCGAGGCCCTCCACGTCGGCATCGCCTTCAAGGCCTTCTACTTCCTCCAGACCATATGGGACATCTCAAACAACATTGATGTTTGGTAAAGATGGCTTGAAGATCAACAAAGAGCCACCTGTGGTTAAATCGAACGAGGCATTGGAAAAGGAAATAGAAGAAAGGTCGAAAATTTTCGGCAAGGATGGCAAACCCGTGAATCGCTATGGTAAGAAAATAAATGCCACGTCATTTGCCCTAGCTAAGGAGGAACCTTCTCTCCTGCAAAACAGAGGGAATCTACTTCAAGCTGCAAGGAAGGCACTGCATGACTCGGGGTATGAGTATGCCCACGGAAAAAAAACTCGGAGCCAAAAATTTGGCAGACACCAAAAAGAGAAGGAAGTTGAGAAGTACACCTGTGAAGCTGCACGTCATGAACGCTCAACAGAACTGAATGAATCAATCTCCAGCCTGCAAAAACAAGCCGAATACTTAGAAAAGGCCAAAGAGAAAGCCGTGAACTCGAGTCTCTTCTGTGAGGCTGCCACATTGGAGCATCAGGGGTCAGAGTTGAAGATGAAAATTAGAAGAGAAAACATAGAGTTGATGGAGATACAGCAACACAGCAGCAAGTTACTGAAGAGAAGAAATAGCAGGAAACGAAATAAGAGTGGAAAGAATGCACAAACAGACCTTCATTATTTCAATTCCTGAACAAACTAAAGTGCCACTTAAACCCTTTCTAAGTCAAGATTGGCCGAATTGACCCTTCCCCTAGTTGGAGTTGTTGCAGACCATGTTTGTGATATTTACTGCTTTTTATGACTTTGAAATGAATAATATTGGTCTAAGAGAAGAGGCAAAACATGCAAGCCGCCATCTTGGATTATAATGTAGGCACACATTTTTTGTCCAATGAGGACAACCACAAGTCATTGATGTGCCAGAGAACAGATTTTCACCAAAAGGTTTATTAAGAATCAAGATACAGTCAAACCTCTCTATAAAGGCTACCTGCGTATAGTGGCCATGTACTTTGCCTCCATCGAGAAAGAAATATGTGTTTACCTGTCTATAGATTGAGGCCATCTGCCTACAGGGGCAACTTTCACTGTTTCCCTTGGGTTACCTCAATAGACAGTTCTGACTGTACGTTTCAATTACTTCAAATCAAGTCGGGCAAGTACTAGTGTGCACAATTACATTTGCACCTTGTACTATATACAGATCTGGGCCCCGTCTTACAAAGAGTTGATATCAATCGTAACTTATTTGAGATTGATATCAATCGTAACTATGTACATGAGAGATAGGACACTGCAAACTTGCGATTGATTGGAGGACTTGTGATTGATTGGGATCTATCGTAACTCTTTGTAAGACGGGTTTTTCACTAAAACGTTTCATGGAAAAAAGTGGGTGACTATACACCATGAAGAAGTGTTCTGATCATTTAAATGTAGATTGCAAGGTTACTAGTATGCAAGTGACCATCACAGCTGAGCCTTGTATTTAGCCATCTGCAGCTCATGTTTCATCCTATCGGCCTCCAGCTGCCGGAAGTACTCTGCATCCTCGTCTCGGTAGAGCTGCTCCTGGTATTCTCTGATCTCTTTCTCCATCTTCCTCCTCACGTCCGCCTTGATGCGTTGCATGGCCTGCAAGAACAGGAGATGAGGACGGTGATGGATTAATGTTTGCTATTTCATTAGGGATTTACAAGTAGATTAACAAGCTAATAACACAATAAGAGCAAGTGAGAAGCTGAAACATCATATAGATATCATGGAAAGACATAAAATGCAATTTTGTGGCTCGAATGTGACGTCACAAATCTTGACGCTCTACAGAGGACCGCTGAAGGCAGAAAATCTGGATCTCAAAATCAACATTTTTGACAGATGATTACTGTGGACCTGAAACATATTTTGAAGAGGGAAGTTATTATATTTAATCAGTAAGGTTTCCTCTTCGCAATGATATGAATTTTGCATCAATTCAAAACACTTTTGATTCTTTGGGTGACCACTTTAACATAGGTTTCCTGAAGGAGCCTAGAGTAGGGTCAGATATGTGAGGGACCCATAGACATATCATCATTTATAATCTTTACATCTTTCAAGGTGTAGCTGATACCTTTCACTTCATGATACAGTCAAACCTGCTTTAGTGACCACCTGTCTACAAAGACCACATTTTTGTTTCCCTTGAATATGGTTTCTCATTGAAACATGGACTAAAGGAACCTGTCTACAAAGACCACTTTTTGTGTTTCCCTTGGGCAGTCACTGTAGACAGGTTTAACTGTACAAAGAGCATTGTATCAATTGTAATATTTTGCATCGTGACTGTTAACTAGATTAAATGTTTTTTGGCTGCACAGCAGTTTATTGAATACATATAGGGTATATCTGGTACTGTGGATGTAATGTGAAGTTATCATAGTACCGGTACCTCTAGGACAACCCACTCGTAACTAGGTGAGAGGGGTTGTCTTGTATGGTGATTATCCTACGTCAGTACTTCTCTAAGAAGTACAGTTAACAACTGATTTATTCATACCCCTTGTCAATTTGAAGTTTTTTGTGTTTATGATAACTCAAGAATGAAAGGTGAACGGGTTGAATTTGGGCCTTTGTTGAATACTTTTAGATTTAAGCTTTAAAACGTCACATTCTCAAGGAACATAAATCAGGTTATATCAGCTTTTCACTTTAACTTGTAAAAGTACAAAACTTGGTAAGGGTATAAATAATTTAGTAGTCAACTGTACACAAAATTGTCCTAGAATCATCAAGTGTTGAGCATACTCACATTTGCCTGTGCCTTGTCTCTGACGTTGAGGTCATGACGTTCCGTGGCTATCGTCTCGGCAAGCACGTTGAACTGATCTCGGTAGCTAGTAGATGATTTCGTTCAGGAAAGTTTTAATGAATAATGCTGTTTATTTTTCTGACCACCATGAAAAAAAAAAAAACTCACCTTCACCACCACCATACCAGCCAAAAAACAACAACAATGGATTCTTATGTAGCATTCATATACACCATGCAGGAAGTTAAAGGCTCTTCAATATCACCCAAGTTTCAGATAGGGTGCCAATTCCGAGGTTAATGGTTTTCAAGGAATATCTTCCAACCACACAACATGTGTTCTATACAAGCTTGGAGAGGGGAAATGTAGATTAATTATTGTACTAAAGAACACTTATGCCATGCCATGGTTCATGTCCACCACATCTCCAGTCAATAATTTAAATCACTCCACTACGACGCCTCTTATGCATAAGTGATCACTGGTACTCATTAGTCCTTACTTCTTAGCATTTCCCTTCATATTTCATAAAATGTCTTTTGGCAAGACATTAATCTACATTTGCTACACTCCACCCAGGTGAGGTAAATGGGTAAATGGGTACCCAGTAGGAAAAAATTCCTTGAATACTTGAGGGCCTTTTCATGTTAGCTCAGCTAAAGACGGGGTCATAATATGATTACACTGGCCGTCAGGCAGAACAGTATTAATACTGATGAGGGGACCCTGGGTAAACAAGACATATTATTATTATCATTATATCCGAGACACATCCATAAGACAAAAGAAAATGGAATAGGAAATATTATTCAAATATTTTGTAAAGGATACTAGTTCTCTAGAGACTCCACCTCGTTCTGCTGCTGTTTCGTATAATCCTCTCGTTTCTCCTTGGCGTACTCCCGAAGCTCTCTAATTCTCATCTTCTGTATGGCCATCCCTTCCTCAAAGAGGTGCTTGAATATCTGTACAATCACAAAAGAATTCAATGAAGTGCAGACTTTAGATTAGATCTATCACAATTATTTTTCTATTTTTCAATAGTATTTACATGTATCAAATAAGTATCATCCTTTTATCAATTCCATAGAAACATTGAGTTTTGCTATTAATAACATTCAATGAGAACTTCTTCTCAAGGGAAAGAAGCACTGCTATCCATACTTGATGGCCTTAATGGGTAGATGATCCTTTTACAATCATGGTCACTAAGACAAAACTGTGTCAAACATTTACATTTTTTATGCCTGTGCTACTATGTAATATATGAGTTGAGAAATAATAACAAAAATTGCAACAACAACAAAAAATAAAAAAATTAATCAATCATGTTTGAACATTGAATCTAACCTGTTCCTCTTTGGTCTTTCTTTTCAACCCTCTGGATCTCGCCCTCACACGATATTCGTCGTAGTATCGTTTAGCCCTTGCATTGACCTGCCTCTGTTCCTTGGCTTTGGTCTGCAGCGCCCTCTCTTGGTTGCGCCTCTCTTTGATATCTCGCTGCGTAACGTGAAAAGAAATCTCAAACGTATTCATACGTAGGATAATAAAACTACATGTACCAAGGAGTGAATATCTCAAAGAAAATGACCCTAGATTACTTTGTGCATACGGTATACATGTAGTAGGAAGACAAATATGATATGAAGTTCATAAATTCACATTAAAGCAAAATGAGTTAAAAAAAGAAAAAAAAAAAAAAATTACGGAAAAGCTTTTCTGAAAAGTATATGTCATTTAATGGCCAAAATAAAATTACACACATTCTACTCCTCCCCTTAATGCATAAATTGCAAAACTGTATTTATGGCAATCACATTGTATCTGAAATAAAATCTCATAAACACACAATAACATCCATTGAAAAGTAGAACACACATTATATGATTGTATTAACCAGTTTTAGGTAGGATATCTTACCAGTCTTTGGTTATGGGAAAGTTCTTTCTTCATGATATTGACAAGGATTTCCTGTTTCCTCTCTGCCTCTTCAATCTAGTAATTAAACAAAATATGAGTACATAATGATAATAGATGTAAATAAGAAAAGTGGCTGCAAAGATTACACAGGTTATGGTTTAAAACATATTTACAATACTAAGAAACCAAAAATATGGATCATTTTCGGACAACAATGACTACAAATCTGCACACATTTACAATGAAATTAATTTAAGTTTTGATGTTCCTCTCTACAAGGACTGAAGTATTAGTTTCTATCCCAAGCTCATAACATCCTCTCCAATATCATGCACCAATACATGTACCGTAGCTTTTTTAAACATAACTTTTTGCATGCAAGTTGCTCCTTCAAGTTTAATCTTTTCACATCCAGCACACTTACCGGTAATAAGAATATAAAAAAGTAAAATCATTGTTCATGGCCCTGATAATAAAATCATAGTACCGGCTCATCAAAAATACATGCAACATCATGAATAATGAAGCAAGGTCGGCCCAGAGAAAGAGAGAGAGAGTCAGAAATTTATGACCTTCTGCACATGGAAACCAATGACCCACTCCCTTTGAGGGTGCTTTTCAATAAGCATAGGTATCACGAGTCTACATTTGGAGCTGTTCATACATGTACCTTGGATTGTGTCTTTGGTTTCTTGTATTTCTGTGAGATGGCTGCCTTGGTGAGATGCTCCATGTGTTTCATCTGCTGAGCCCACATCCTCTGTGCAGTGTGAGGCGAGACGTGGAGGAACGGGAACTCATGCATCAAGGTCGGTAGTAGGTCATCGTCACCAATCCTCACTGTGGAGAGAGAGAGATAGAGAGAGTGTGTGTGTGAGGAGAGACGTGAAGGAACGGGAACTCATGCATCAAGGTCGGTAGAAGGTCATCGTCACCAATCCTCACTGTGGAGAGAGAGAGAGATAGAGAGAGTGTGTGTGTGAGGTGAGACGTGAAGGAACAGGAACTCATGCATCAAGGTCGGTAGAAGGTCATCGTCACCAATCCTCACTGAAAATCAGAAAGGGAGATTATACATTAATATTTATGAATTCATAGTGTACGGAATCGTATCCGGACACCTACCCCCTGGACATCCACCCCCCGGATAACCACCCCCAGTCAACTACCCCCTAGGACAACTACCCCCTAGGGCAACCACCCTCTGTCCATGGTTTATTTGTCCCAGAGGATGGTTGTCGTAGGGGGTAGTTGTCCGGGGGGTAGTTGTCCGGTGGGTAGATTTCCTAGGGGGGTAGTTGTCCTAGGGGGTAGTTGTCCGAGGGTGTAGTTGTCCTATGGGGTAGTTGAATGGGGGGTAGTTGTCCGGGGGTAGTCGTCTTAGAGGGTGGTTGCTCTAGGGGGTAGTTGTCCTAGGGGGTAGTTGAATGGGGGGTGGTTATCCGGGGGTGGATGTCCAGGGGGTAGGTGTCCTAGAACCGTACGGAATATCATATAAACACAACAGAGAGAGAGAGAGAGAGAGATAGAGAGAGAGAAAGATGTACATGAAGGAATGGGAACTCCTGCATCAGGGTCGGTAGCAGTTCATTGTCACCAATCCTCACTGTAAATCAGATACAGATACATGGACACTCACTCAACAACTAAATTATTCATACCCATACCAAGTTTTGTATTTTTTTTAAATATGTATGAAATTGATTTGTACCAATTGAGAATGAGACATATTAAATCTTACATCAAACAGTACTCAACGAAGGCCCTAACTCAGCCAGTCCACCTTCATTCTTGAGCTATGAAAAACACAAAAACATCTTGGGATTCCGCATTCAAAGAGGTATATTTTACTGACTGATAGAAAAAAAAGGAAGTGTTCCTAGTGTAGTGATGTGCAAAAATGAGAGGAACATTTGTAATATCTTAATGAATCTCTGAATAGCATGGTCCAACAAATCTAATAATGAATGAGCGCTTGTTCACAGAAGATGTGGTATATAGCAGCATTGGTGAAATGATATTCAGTATCTCAAAACACATATTAGATAAGTGAGTGTGGATATAGAACCATATTTGCAGACAGCTACTTTTTTCATCCCCAATTGGTATTATTTTATATTCATTTACATGGGAAAAAACATGCAATTTTTGTGTCATTTTATTATAATTATTATTATTAATTTGGCGTCACCTGTGCTTGGGAGGTGAAAAGCGAACTGAATCACTATAACCCTCAGGTCTCTCCTCCCGGTATAATTGATTGGGGTAGTGCAGGTGGACCGCTACAAATAGAGCAGTGGGTTCTTCATGTGCAAAGGTGGTGACTCTACTCTACACGGGGGCCTTCATTTAATGCCTTATCTGAGGGACGGATAGGACAGATATTTGTGAACTTACATGGACGATCTACCCCAAGCATGGAGCGAGTCGGGCTGACAGATGCTGCTCGCTTGCGCTTGGAAGGTAGAGTGCGCTTTGAGGACCTTGAGGATCGTCTGCTGCCCTCTGCGGCTGAGACTGGTGCAGAGTACTTCTTGGCTGGTTTGTATTGTGTGGTCTTTGGCTTGCCGTGGATGGCTTTGTAGTCTTCATCCTAGGAGAGCAGGAAGAGAACCGAGGGTCAAAATGGTTAAAGGGGGTGTAGCATGACTGTGGGCCAATCGGGTATATAATACTACAGACGACGTGACCGCAGTGTTCACATGCATGCAACATACGCGAAACCGAAGCATGAGGAGAACTTCGATCTGTTTAGCGAAGCTGACCGTTAATCAAGTCCATTCATTTATGTGCAGTTGTCCAAAAGAAGTACTAGATAGCTTTAACCAGTATTTGTCATGCTACAACCCCTTTAACCCTATTTAGCCCGGGCTATTTTGAAACCGCATAGCCCGGGGGGGGGGGGGGGGGCTTCTAAGGCCCCCCCCCCCTATGATCTCGGCCGTGAAACGCCCAATCGCCGCGAAAATTTGCATACACGTCAACTGAAGTGTATAGAATACTATGGTAATTTTAATTTTTTGAAAAATACACTCATTTGCATATTTATGGTAATTTATGCAAAAAACGTCATGAAATTCACATTTTTGCCCATAAATCAGACATTATTCATATTTAAGCATTCTTTCTCACTAAATATATTATTTAGACCATTTGGAATAATAATATAACACAAAAAATTGAAAAAACCAGGGTTATTCCTTATGTTATCTATTGTTTTGATAATTTCTTATGTATTTCTTTGTTTTTTAACTGATGTATTTTATTGTTTTTGTTGTTTTATTTCATTATCAACTATAATTCAACTATTTTGACCCCAAAATAAACACCTAAACTATAAACAAGACCAAATAACCAATGTTTTATCTCTTTATTTGAAAAATGAGATTTCCATATGTTTTGTACACAAATCACAAAAATGAGCGATTTTCGGGCTGACATGCAAAGACAAAAGGGCACGTGACTTTGTAATGGTAGGTCCGATTTTCGAAAAATTTCTTTCAAAAGATGCGAAGACTCGAAAGAAAAAAGTGACAAAATTTCAGTGCAAGATTTTCTTGTGTTAAAAATTTATCGCGAAAAATGACGAGGGGGGGGGCTTCTAAAGCCCCCCCCCCCCCCGGGCTAAATAGGGTTAAGCTTGTTTTCTCCTCCCAGGAACAGGTGTAAACGCTGTCATTTTGACGTGATTAATTTTTCACGCCGAGCTACTCCAAAACATATTCACTGATTCTTAAATTCGCGTTGCACGCAATTCAGCCCGTTCAAAACATGCATAAGAAGTCATGCTTATATTTTTGCGAATTCTAAAATTCGGGCTTGCTGATCTAAGCGCAAAATCCGTGAAAATTAATGTACAACAAATATTTCTACTTTTACAGTATTCTCCTCATATGAACTTCCCACCAAATTTGGTTTCGTTTCTGTTGTATGTCATAAACATTGATGTGAACAATGTGTTAGTATAGGACAGAATAGCAGGATGAAACATGCTTTTATGTCGTACTTTTACATTAATAAAAATATATACCAGTACATGAATACTTTTCAAGGTAATTGAATAGATGAATTTACCATCATATTAGTATTTTTTCGTTCAATTGAAGTCCACACCATGACTAAATCTGACAAAGCAATATGTAGTTTCTATATCTGTTTTTGGTGTTCATTTCAACAACAACATTTGGTGAGTAAATTAGTTATTCAGATGTACACTGGGAACCTGTAGCTTTACTAGTCTCACTCACCAGCTGTTTGGTGACCCTCTTGCGGCGAGTGACCTGCTGTTTGACCCCTCTCTTGACCTCATGCAGGCTGCCCGCGTACGTGTGCTGAAGCACGCTCTTCATCTTGGACTGCTGGCTGGCCTCCTCTGCTAGCTTGCGCCGCACCTTACCCAGGAGACCCTTGGCGTCTCGGTTCATGGCGTCCTCAAAGCGCACCTTGAGTGGTTCCCGTCTCTGGGGAAGGGACCTCGGAAGCAGCACACTACGTTGCATGGGTCCTGCAGATGATACACCATATCAAATTTATTTATTATTTATTTCTAATCTTTTGTCAGGGTAGCCCCTTATAAGTAGTGGTCTTCCAAGGGGCCCTGAATAAACATGGACATATTTGCATCAAAAAGCATAACGTTTATACAGAACAGTTGAAATAAAGTTCCATAGTATATATAGAAAGATATACACAGCAATAGTAGACGTGGCACAAACGAATACTCATTTGCACAAAAATCATTATATCATCAACCTAGTTCAACTGTAATGCAAGACTCATTGTATTTATAGAATGCTCCTTTACTGATCCCCTTGCATAAAAGTTGATATCAAGTTTTACTTCAGATATTATCCAGCATACTAATAAAAGCAAGTAAAGAAAGAAAGAAAAAGAGAAAAGTATCATGCATACAGTAGTCTGAATCTAGACCTCAATCTGAACTTAAAGATCTCAGGCTTGCAAAACTGATGACACTAGTCACTTTCTAACATAACAAGTGGAGGAATGACAGTCCCTTCTACACGACACGCTTTATGTAAACTAGCTTTTACCTTTATCATCCTGTCCCTTCACTTTCTTCACAAGTCCAGTCTTCTGCCTAGCCCTGAGATCGTAAGAATGACCCTCTTCCTCTTCTTCTTCTTCTGAGTCAGTCCTTGACTGATCCACTCTCACTGGTCTGTTATTCCTAGTTAGACGACTGTGATGGCTGTAGGGTAGGTCTGCAATGTCATTTTCCTCATCACTCACTCTGCTGAACCTGAAATGCGAAAGAGAGACAGAAATGGGGAGGAAGAGAGGGAGGAAGAGAGAAATATGGGGTGGGAGAGGAAGGGGAGAGTGCAAAGAGAGAATGAGAAAGAGAGAAATAGAGAGATAGGGGGTGGGCAAGAGCAAAGAATATGAGTTTGACAAACATATCTTTGTATTGGATAATAGCCAGTACAATGAAGAAGCGAGCCTTTTACAAATACTTTTACCAACATGGTCATGCTATTCATACACGCACCCTCTGGAAATCCCTGGAAGTATTCTTGCCATATGGTCAATACAATAAATTTAATCACAATGATTTTCAGCATCCTAACTGGGTGGGTAGGCTTGAACCCATGACCTTCATTCTCCAGTCAAGGTTTCAAACCACCTGACCACAACAATTCTTAGTTTGGACTTACCTAAACCTTTGAGATGAATGTTCATCATCAGTATCTTCTGCAGGAAACCTCTGGCTTCGCTCATCCTCAAAGGCGACTCGCCGTCTCCTGGCAACCTTTCTCCTCATGAAACTCTTTTAATTGGAAGGGGGAAAAAAGGTAGAAACCATTAAGGCCATCCCTCAACAGCACACAAAATTCAAAACAGCTTTAACAAAGTGATTATTTCTTAAAAGAAATCTAAAGAGAAGATTTGTTATAAATTTTAATCTCTTTCAAGTGAGTGAAATAGAGATTTAAATATGTAATATCTGTTGTAGTGTAGATTTGTTTGGAAGAATGTTGTGCAATGACACTCAACCTTTGTAAAAAACTAAACCAAACTACAATTTAGCATAACATTTTACTTTGTTTTAGATGTGTCAGTACCAAATAGCCTGATTTCTAAACAAGAAAACTTATTCCTACCCTGTCATAAGAGTCCTCCACGTCAGCTCCTAAGGAAGACTCCTCTCTACTTCTGTCTCTTTTCTCTGGGTCTAAACTCCTTCTTGAGCTCCTTCTTAATCTTGAAGCAATCTCTGGAGACTGCGTAATATTGCCACCATCTCTGGTTTCAGATGGTCTCGTTGTCCTGGTGTACGGTGGCAACATGGCAGCGTACCTCTCCTGTTCTGTTGCAGAGGCCACTTCTTGGCGGGTTGGTGAATGGCTGTATCGGCTGGTCGCAGAGGAACTGTGGTGGTGTGGAAGCCTTGCAGGGTATCTCTCCCGTTCCGTTGAGGGCGCCACTTCTTGTCCAGTAGGTGCATCTGTGTACCTGCCGGCTGCAGGAGACTTCCGATCCTGTGCTAGTCTTGAAGGGTACGTCGCAGCAACTGCTGCACCAGAAGGTCGTCCAGAAGTCGAAGAACCCCGCACCTCTTTCCTATCTGCTTCATACCTCAGCACCAACTCAACTGGATATCTTGTTCGAACGGATTTTGTAGGAGACCCCCGAACTGGTGGGGAGTGTGCATGATGTCTCCCTCTGCTCTCCAAGTCAGGTTGTGGCAATTTGGCAGGGTACGTTGCCTTCTTGACTTGAGGTGTGAGGGGTTGCCCAGCTGACATTAGTGGTACCCGTTGGCCTTGCCTAGCTGGTGGGGTGAATCTTGGTGATCTGCGCTGGGAAGCTCTTGGCTGCTTAGAAGATGATCTGATAGAAACAAGATAAAGAAGACAATGCAATTTATATTGAATTTGACATGAGTATTTACTTGCCTACAAATTGCAAAGCAAATGCTCATATATCTTTTACAGATTACAATGACTGTCAAGATCCTGCTTTAATATAATACATGTACTAAAGTAACCTGTCTACAAAGACCACCTGTCTACAAAGGCCATGTTTTGTGTTTCCCTTGGGCGGTCGCTATAGACAGGTTTGACTGTATCAGGAAAGTTTCATGCAAGGGAAGGTTTCTGTAGTTAATGTATGATATTACACATTTTTCAAAAACCTTATAAGCAGAAATATTTCATTAATTATTGTGGGACAGTTTGATACAATCATCAAAATGGCCAAGGGGCATGTGAACACATATCACACATTTTAGGCTTAATCATAAAAGATTCTTACCCAGACTTATGTCCAGTTCCAGACTCGAGGTTTGTCCCTTGCGGCGGAGTCCTACGTCTCGAGCCCTGTTGTTGCGCAGCTGATGTTGCTGTGGACTGTGGTGTAAGGCGCAAAGACCTGCGTTGAGGTTGCTCCGTTGCAGTTGCTGTGCTGTATCCTTTGGTGGCTGTGGGTGTTGTAGGAATGGCAGAGGTGGTGGCTGGTGTGGCTGTGACAAAGTTTAAGGATGAAATACTCTTTACTTCTTTTGTACTTTTTAAAGAGGAGGCAATCACTGAAATTATTTAGAAAATGCATCAATCAAGGAAATAAATCTGAATGCAGTTTCCTAATCAAGGAAATAAATCTGAATGCAGTTTCCTTTTAATAAATCTGATTCCTTTTCTTAAACTTCAAGCAAATGGCTCTAACTTAAATATTCATTGTAGTTATAAAATTGTGCATATAATTTTTTTAAAGCAACATATTACTTGTAGAAATCCCTTCATAACCACTGCCATATTGCGTTGATACAAATGATGAAAAAAGTTTTATGTCTGACACATGTTTTGTCATAAAGTGAATAATTATAGTCCCATTTGTCTTGTGCTATGTTTCTTAACGCTTTACATTGCTATTATTTTAACCCGGTCATTGGATTCAATTGCTAATCCACACATGATAGGGCACGCGCTCTGCTCCCTGAGGAGTATTCCTACCGGGCGTCATTTTAAAAGCACACATATGCCAATCCAACCACATCCTACCAGGTACGCATTTAACACCTGGGTGGAGAGTGGAAAATGTAGATCAATGTCTTGCCAAAGGAGATTAGTGCTGTGGTGAGACTCGAAACAGCGAACCATGTGATCCACAGTTCGGTGACATATTCACTAAGACAACTACACCTCTACCACTCATAATCTTGCACACAAAGTTCTTAGGTTACATGTGAGTATTCTAACCTTTCTGATAACCATTGCTTCCAGTCAAACCAGAAAAGTCATCGGTTAGACTCCTTAACAGGCTGTTGTACGGTGACATCTTCTCTGCCATGAAGGCCTTGGTGTGGGCTGGTCGTGAGAGACTGCTCCTAGTGGCTGGTTTGGAGACTGGCGATGGAGATGATACTGTACTGGGTGCCTTGGGCCAGGTGATCGTGGAAAAAGAACCACTCATGGGCTGTAAACAAACAAACAAACAGACAAACAAATATAGAATAAACAAACCAACCAAAACGATGACTGGTTTATCTATTTAACTCTAATCAGACATTGATTTACGAGAGCATGCTTTCTTGCCGATGACACGTACTATAAATATAACATTTTGCAAAGATAATGCATGCACAATTAAAGCACCTCTTTATAATTTTGTGATGACATTTGCTTTTTCCATTAGATTCAAACTATCTGTGGGAGTTTTTATGTCGGTCTCACATATTCATAAATAATCAAATCGAAATGAAAACAAAAAATGAAGGTGAACTTCGTAATTTCAAAAAGACAGTGAAGATCAGAAAGTGAGCTTGCCCCAAAACCACAAACTAAAAATAACTACCAGTAAATCAAATTAATAGGGGTATTTAATCAAGAAATATGAGAATAAAATCAAGATTTTTTTTCAAGACATTTAAGTTTTTAATGATCTTACCTCTTGTCCAGAAATACTGGTATCCTTCAGTGTAGTATCAGTAAGCTGTGAGAGACGTCCCTCTGAGATACCATAGCTGTCAAACATCTTGGACATCCCTGATCTCTGATAGGTGGAATTCAATTCTCCATTCTTGTCATGCGTCACAGCTAGAAATCAAAGAAGAGAGATAAATGTATTCAATGACAATTTGTTCATCTTCTCTGTTTGTAACATCTTGAAAATAGGCAATTCAGGTAGCGAACTAGCGATACGTAATACGTTTATACGAGGTTATTTCACTCTCATCAGGGGTGATAGTAAGCACTAAAAAAAATAGGTTTTTTGTTTTCCCCTCAACCACGCCCTCCTTGAGTAAAAAAAAAAGAAGAGGATTCGCGGGGAACAAATGGCATCTAACAACATTCCCCCCTATCGAGTAAGAAAATTGGGGAAAAAATAGGGAAGAATAGAGAAAATAAGGGGGGAATCAGGAAAATCAGGATAAAATAGGGAAGGGGAAAAAATTCTGGTAAAAAAAAAAACAAAAAAAAAAAAAACAACAACAACAACAACAACAACAATCAGGATTTTTTTTTTTTTTTTTTTTAATCAGGAAGGAAAAAAAAAAAAATCAGGAAAAAATCGGGGAAAATAAAAAAAATCAGGAAACCGATTTAAATCAGGTTTTTATCAGGTCTGTCTCATTGAGATAAATAATAATAGTATTTCGCCCAAATCTATAAAACCTGTTTCCAAGTGGCACAATAATCAGTGTATTTAATATCTTTTGCGCTGTACCCGGATGACAGATCAATATTGTTTTTGTATTGCTCTGTCATCCGGGAACTTCAACAACACTTTCGTTGTACCCAATGTCCAAAACTGGTGTCCCTTCTGACAACTGAGCGTAGTGGTCACATTGAACCACACATAAAATAGCAGCTTTTACCGGTGCAAGATTTGCGTCTGTTAGCGCAGAAGAATTCAATGAAATTCTTCGAAATAAAGACGAAGAAAATATGATTAAATCAACCAAAAAATCTGTGCAAACTAGTCTTTTGCGAAAACTTACGTGAAAAACAATTGTCTGTGGTGTTTGAAGCACTAAATAAGCTTACACTCGTCGATATTCTGTCAAAGTTTTATGTTGTATGGCTTTGTTTTTGTGTGATACAAGAATATATTGCTCTCGCTATGACAATATATGCTTGTATAATACTCAAAGTATCTCACCTGTATGTTTTCTCCTGTAACTGGCAGACTCCTCCCCTAGTTTGATGAGCTCTGCCGTGGAGTTGCTGCCCTCCGATAGCTCCTCCATATCAGGGTGCAGTGAGATGCTACTCGGCAGAGACATACTCCCAAGGGATCTATATCAGAACCAACAAGAAAGTAGGACATTTTTTTGTAATATCTTTACTACTAATAATAATAATATTAGATATTAATATTGCGCACATATCCACCAAGCATGGTGCTCAAGCTGCTCCAACTATTACCCCAGCTCTGCTAGGCAGCCGATTTCGCCGATCACTGCATTTAAGGAATTCCTTCCTACCAGTACCCATTTAACACCTGGGTGGAGAGTGGCAAATGTAGATTTAATATCTTGCCAAAGGACATTAGTGCTGTGGCGAGACTCAAACCGCGGACCATGTGATCCACAGTCCGACGACTTATCCACTAGACTACAACACCTCTACTAGTGTATACATGGCATGGTGTTCTTTTGGGACTCTCTGGGAAAAATAAAACATGTCTACTCAGTTTCAGGCAAATTGAAGAATAAATTAACAGCAACAACCATTTCAATACAGAAAATCAAACTGCGGAACCCCAAGAGAAATATGCCAGATATCATTTTACAATACATGTACCTTAGGCTTATATTATGGTTAAATTATTAGTAAATGTATATTAGCCAAAAGTATGCATTGACTTTGGGGGCAGCTTAGGTGATATAGGGTAATGTTGTGGAATTTTTCCCCATGAGGGGGAGGGGCATAGGCAGTCATTACTTGAAATTCATTACCAGGGGGGTGTTTCATAAAGATCCTAAGTTGAACTTAACAATCATGGAAAGTCATTAGTATCTTTGATAATATGTTGTAAAAGATATTTTAAAAGGCATAAAATGTTGATTTAAATCATTCATATTTTCTATTATCAAGAGACTTCATGTTCTTGATCTGGAATTTATGAAAAGTCTCAAATACTTGAATTTTTGCTTTTGAATTTTTTTTTTTTAAAGGCTACAAATGACTCCTTATAAGTTTTAAGTCCAACTTAGAGTTAAGTTCGACTTAGGATGTTTGTGAAACACCCCCTGGCATCCTAGCTCTTAATCAGAATTGGGGTAATGTACCTTGTACTGACAAAAGGAGCTGATGACATCCCTGGTTGGTCCTTGATCCGTCTCCTGGAGGAGGATCCTTCTGTCTCTGAATGTAAGCTCACTTCTTGGAGGGGCTTGAAGTCTAGACAAGAAAAAAAGTACAAAAACAAAACACATGATTGATCTACTCCATAACAGTATTTTCCCCGATTCGATTCAATTTCGGTTTAATTGTAAAAAGGAGACATGACAAAAAGTCCAAAGACTAAGATTTCCATATTTAGTACTATTCATAATAAAAAACAAACATGAACAAAAAATGTATATTGACATTCATTAACAAATAACAAAGATTGAGACATTACCAATTTAAATAAGAATAAGTTAAATAGCAATTATTATAGTGAATTATATTGGATTCATATGTAAAAATTTTAAAATATGATTGGTGCTGAGAATACCAGTTGTAGATTTTGTTTTCAAATAGATATGTGTTAACTAAATAATGTAAATATATTGCTTATATTGCAAGCAACACCGGTAAAGAAATTAGGGTAGGGCACAGCGAGAGAGAGAGAAAGAGAAAGAGAAACTGAGGAAGAATGAGAAGAGTTATATTACGGCTCCATATTGAATTTTTATGCTTGGGTCTAATTTTCAGGCAAACAGCTAAAACAAGGGGATCTTGCTCCACATATATATTGTGCATCAAAACGTGGTGCTTAAGAATAAACTGTTAGATTCTAAGCATATAAGATTTCAAGTAAAAAAAAATATCAGATATCAGTTACAAATTATTGAGAGACAGATATCCAAGAATCTGTTTACAATTATGCTGCAGATATTGCTGAGATTGAAGAATGAAACTTAAAAAGATAGCTAAGAGAAATTGCACAAAAGAAAACCCTCTTACCATCAACCTCGCTGGACGTCTCACTACCGATCTGCTCCATGACATAATCCACCAGACCCTCCAGAATTTCTAGGAGGTACTGGACAGAGACGCCGTCACGGTCAACGATGGCCTGGCCGGTGATGTGGGAAAGATCGCAGTGCAGGACATCCCTGGACAGGCTCTCTATCACGCACTGGACATTGTGAATTTCATCTTCTCGGGTGACTGGACATTGGATGACACCTGATAGTTCATGGCACATGAAAATTGTTTGTGCAAATTGTTAATTCTTGGACGAGAGATGAAATCTTAATTTCTGTGTCAATCAAACATAGTGTATTTTACAAGAGTGGTCAAAAAAAAATTTAAAAGAAAGCTCGTGCTAGTTTTCCAGCACAAACCCTTGTCAGTGGTAATGCATAACAGAGGGTCTGAGCTAGACTATACAGAGACTACACTCAATTGGCCGTGTACTATACCTCACAGCCAGAGACTGACAGAGTTAGGCTCTGCTAAAGGCTCTATGGAACAGTGATTAAGTGTCAAGTTAGAGATTGTGCATGTAGAGTAAGCTCCAGCCTCCAGGGGACCTACAGTCATAAGCCCTATGTGAGGGACTTTGTGAATATAAGTGAGTCTCTCCATTGAGAGTACGTGTTGCATTGGTTTGGGCAGCGTTGCACGAAAACGTCCCAAGTACAAGTTTGTCAGCAATGTGTGTATAAAATTCAACACATGTTTCAGTGGATGTCTGTGAACTTGTACTTATGACGGTTTTTGTGAAAGATGCCTTGGTCTCGAACATGATTCCCCAAAAGTCTACCCCCAAACCATACCACTTCCTTGCACATGACATAAGTATTAAAAAGCAAGAAGTACAACAGATCTATTAATTTCAATCGATTGAACCGAATTGTACTATAGATTTCTATCGAACAAAATTTAATAAATTAACATAAAATTCCATGCACCTTGCACTGATAGTTAACCTGATTGAGACTTGAAAAGGTACAAATGGAATTTGATTTGGCAATATGACTGGCAATTTTTTAATTCCTTTTTGTAAATTTAATAAACTTTCTTGTGTGCAGAAGTGTATAATATGACTACAACTTTAATAAAAGAAAATCATATACACATGCCAATTGGAGACTGTTCAGAAAAAGTTACTGTCACTGCTATCAAATTAAAAACATCACTCAATAGGATGTTTGTAGATAAACATAAAGGGATAGATGTTTACCTTTGATTCTATCTCCTAGGATGCCCTCATAGAGAGTGACAAACGATGATGGCTCACATTCTGACAGATTCCTCACGGGAGCGATGTGAAACTTCCGGAAAAGTTCATTGGTGATGGCAACAAAATCTGTTTGAATCAAAGAAACCATGGTTTCATGTGGAATAACCTTTATAGAAAATTACATACATGTATGAGAGTGCTTGACACTGAACTCTCCCCATAAAAGCCAAGAGTACATACAAACTTTGATGACGCATTTAAACATTTATCTGTAGGATGGGGGGGGGGGGGGAGTATTTCACAAAGATCCTAAGTTGGACTTAATAATTATGGAAAGCTGTTAGCATCTTTGAAAATATTTGTTAAAAGATATTTTAAAAGGCATAAAATGTTGTTTCCAATTGTTCATATTTTCTATTACCAAGGAGATTTCTTGTTCTTGATGTGAAATTTATGAAAAGTCTAAAATACTTGAAGTTTTGCTTTTTAATATATTTAATTTCAAGGCTAAAATGGCTCTCCATAATTTTTAAGTCCAACTTAGAGTTAGGTTTGACTAAGGATATTTGTGAAACATCCCCGGTAACAAGTTTGTAAAGTTAGCTACCTCTTTTTCTTCCTTCCTGTCTCCCCCAACTTTTCTCAGTTAAATACATGTTTTCAAAATCATATTTTATTGTCACAGGTCCTGAGAATGCCAACCCTATCGCCCTGCCTTGCTCATGAAACAACAGGGCCTCATTATATAAGACCATGCAATTGATGGCACATAGTAATCAATGCAATACAAAAATTGCAAAAATCTATTGAACGATCAAATAAAGGACAGTCTCTTCACTTTTCTTAGAATAATAACAATTTTCCTAATACTACATGAAGTTGATTCACTCTGTTCTAATACGTTGTCTTTAAAGCTTTGAAAATCTTTGTCCTGAATACTCTTCAATAGAAACATTTGAGTCCTGTCAAATAAACTTGAAATCACTTCCCACTTATGTTTTACCATCTCCCACCTTAAAATCAAAGTGAAATCATCTGTTCCACATGTTCATGCACCTTAACGGTACTGCTTATTATTTTTCTACCACTTAACAAAAATAACATACATGTACACTATTAAAGCAACAACAAAACATACCATCTTTACTGGACCCTGAAGCTGAAGACCGAGGCATCGCTTTAGCAGCATGAATGTCTTGTAACTGAAAATCTGCAAAAGCAAACCACAGACAAAATCAATGAGGGTTGTTCACATAAACGAGGATATCCTCATAAACGCGGACAAATAGCATTCTAAAAAATAAGGAGCGTCCTAAAATTAAAAAAATAAGGATCTTTTTTTTTTTTATCGGTGCTCTGCGGGTTTCACGTTCCAGAACCGTGCGCTGGCGATGCGAAAAACGGATTTAGCATAATGAAATTTAATCCCAGTTCATCGTCTTCTTTTATGGGTTGTCCGTCTTCCCGAGGATCTATCGCTCACAACATGAATTTCTCTGTACAAAGTCAATGTAAAATGAATCAAGAAAATCATCGCGGAATCCAACGAGCCGATTGGAAATCAGAAACGTCTGCGAAAATGACGATCTTTATTATTGCGTAAACATCTCTCCGCGTTTATGAAGATGATCCATATTTTCGCCCCTACTGTTCATTTGATTAAAATATTAATAGATCTAACAATTAAAAATTAAAAAGCACCGGCTTCCTTTCAAAAATTTAATCTAGAATCTAGAATTAATTATCCTTTTACAATTAGATCTATCATCAATACCTCATGCATTGTTATAATAGGAGTGCAATAAGCAGTTGATTATTAGTTATTCAATGTCTAACTCTAAGTTAAATTCTTATTCTAAGAGTCTAATTCAAATCTAAAGTAAAGACAGTCAGTTACTTTTGTCTTAATTTGAACTAACGCAAGATGAAGTGTGTGGGACCGTTTTTGTTCAAAACGGTTTGATAGTCAGCCTTCGGTAGATGTTTTCAGTTAGAATAACACATTTTATATGAATGTAACAATACATAATAGTTACAATGTTATTTGATGATATGTAAATAATGATAAAATAAGTCGATTTATCACGTTACCTTATCCGCGAGCCGCAGAGGAAAATTAACGTCTTTCGAAAACACCGCTTTTTCCAAAAATACGCATAATACAATTAGTCTTTGTTCAAGACACATTACACTTTTATATACCGTACGTTGTTATTGTTGATAGTTTATAGGCGTTTGTCATTCAGTGAATATTTACGCCTCTTCTCTTAGGATTTGTTTTCCTTTAAAATTAGATTGACTTGTACCACAATCTTGTAAATAGTCTCGACATTGGGAAGGAATATAATTATTCAAAATATCAGTACATCATTACTTTGTTAACTTGAAAAATGTTCGACTACAACGTATTTTGCGACAAAAAAAAAATGAACTTGAAAAGGGGTCCCCTCCCCCCCCCCCAGGTTTTGGGGGAACGGCAACCCCTTGTGACTTTTATAAACTTCAACAATAGTACTTATTTTTCTTTATTTGGGTCTTCAAACCGGGCGGGACGGGGTGCATATATTTCGGAACTGGCGTAGGCCTACTGATGGGTGGGTCCCCCCCCCCCCAAAAAAAAATCAAACATTGATTATTTCTCCTTCGATGCCAGTGATTTTCAAATGTTGCTGTAATGACATGATTTTCCGGGGGGGGGGGGTTCACTTTTTTGTTAATTATACTTGTGTTTTCTCTCTGCCCCCCCCCCCCCCAAAAAAAATACAATAAGAAGATTGTGCTCATTACGTCTCTGTATTTCGGCTCCATCGTTTGCCAGAGTATATAGGGCCACAATGAGTCAGCGGCAGGGGCGTACGCAGGGGTGGGGGGGGGGGTTGGGGGTTCAACCCCCCCTTTGGTATTTTTATGTGTGTAAAACCCCCTAAAAAAACCTAACCCCCCCCCCTTGAAAAAAATCCTGCGTACGCCCCTGGTCAGCGGGAACAACTAGCTTTTGCATCTCGCTCATCCCGCTCCAATACACTGACATACTGACATTCCCAAAGGGCTACTTCTTTACAAAAGCCTCTGAGGATTTTTTTTTCCTTTCTTAATCCATTCCTAAAGCCAGCGATGAATATACGAAATCGGTATTGAATGCAGGATCGAAAAGGGTATCTAATTATAATTATATAGCTGTTTTATGATCGGACCACCTTCTTTTATGATTTTTTTTCTTCTTCAGATATTGGCTATGAAACACTCGCTCCAACAATGTTGAAATCGGGATGAAGAGGGGAAGAGGATATCGAGGAATAATATCGGAGAAAAGGAGAATGCGAGGAGGATCGAGGCATGAATAGCTATACATTCTAATAACAGGGACTGTCTTGACAGAGCCTTACGGCAGTTATTTGCAGCTAGTTTCCCCAATTCATTTCTATTGATTAACATTGTATAAGCTGGTATATTATTTTGTATAAACACGTTTCCATTTTGTGTGTGTTCCCTGTTTTCTATATTGTATATAATATGTATTTATACTTTCATAAAATGTGTTTTTATGGATTTGAATTGAAATAAAACTTGAACTTGAATCATAATAGCCGATCGAGGGGGCGGGGGTATATATGATTTTTTTGTGTGTGTCCAGTTTTTGAGGGAAAATTTCGCAACGACTCAGCCAGCCGCTGAATAAGCCTGGGGGGAGGGGGTCAGGGGCGGATCCACGTAGCGATTATACCGGCCCGGGCGCGAGCTCATGGAAAAATACTGCCATTTTAGCAATACTTGTAAATCACTGGTATCAAATTAAAAATAACCCATGTTTAAATATTATTGTATTGGGGGGGGGGGGTTACTGCCCCCCCCCCCCCCACCAGTGAAAGAGGCGGAGGTGACGGAAGGGACTACCCCAATAAAGCTGTATGATAAGTCTTATATGTAAACCCCTCACAGGTTTTTGAAGTTTTGTTGTGTTACAAAATTACATTCTTTAGCAAAACTACAGCATAAAAACAAGCAATATACTTTTTTCACGCTTCACTTTTACTTTGCCGATATCTAGTGTGCAGTCCGAAGGGTTGTAAATATTTACTAGGTAAATTTGAGTAAGAACTGAGCAGGAAGGGACTTCTTAAAAGAGCAAGCTGAATATTCATTTTTGGAACACTGATCTATTTCTATAACTTTTAATCTTGTTAACATACAGTGTAAACTGTACATACGTGATACCAACAGAATACATATTATTTTTTTACAATATTTACTTGTATATTTTTATATTTTTATACCGAGCGAGAAGATTTTAGCATTTCTATTAGTCTAAACGCTGTACTCTTGGGCCCACCAGAGCCTATTAAAGCGTGTTGCAGCCTTTAGTTAGTATTTGCTATACATTTTGTTGGTGTGCACTTTTTCAAATTATCCATGGTGGACGATCCCCCTCGGAAAATTGAGGGAAGACGTGTACTCCGTCCTTCCCCCGGGATCGCCGCCTCTGACTCGCACATTTCGCTTTCAATTGCAGAACGCTCTCCAAGAGAATAAATTCTCGGAATGTGAGGCATCTCGCAAAAGACATGGGGGAAAAAATGTTTCGTGTGAAAAGCCAGGGATAGTTTTTTGAGCAAAACACAAAATGGGTGGAGCCAACGTCCACACAGGTCATATCGCACCCATGGAGGTTTTGGCCCGAATTCACAAAGGAGGTTTGCAGACAAACCTATGTTTATGTGCGTCATAACAGACAAAGGTTTGTCTAAACCTTGGTCTGAAACGCATCGGAACGCGTCATGAAGCACAATGAACTAGATTTGTCGACAAACCTCCTTTGTAAATTCGGGCCAAAACCTCCATGGGTGCGATATGACCTGTGTGGACGTTGGCTCCACCCATTTTGTGTTTTGCTCAAAAAACTATCCACAAAAAAAGGACTATGTATACCTATCAATATTAATGTTCACATATCAGTCCCTTTTTGGATTGCCCTCCTCCCTTCCCCCCCCCCCCCCCCCAAGAAAAAATATTATCACATTGTTACATGTGTGCACAATATATATTAATGTGTCAACCTTACGAAAGTGGTGTTTTCATAATGATTATTGAACTCCTTTAAATTTATATTTATATGGAAGACTTAAGACAACTGTTTACAGTCCAGAGCATGCCGTGTAGACTAAAATGTGCAATGTTGCTTAATTTCTGAATTCTTTGTTTAAAAAACTTGCTTGCTGTCAATAGTGTATACATTTTTTTTTATACATTTCAAATGTCTAGTCCGGTTAAAAATAGCACGTAATGATTTCATTTTTTGACACGTACTTCACATTGATTTATCTTATCGATAAGCGAAACGATTTGCTTTAGTATCATATAACAAATGTAACAGTAATGACAAGTATGGTTTTCCTGAAAATTGCATTATACAATGTATATTCATCGTTATGGAAAATGTTGTATAATATACAACAATGGGCATTAACATTTTCCAGACCATTGATTTAATTACGTTTGATATTGAAGCTGTTGCCCTTTGTATATACATGGACTTGAAATAATAAGTAGCCTTGAAAGTGTCGCAATAAATCATGAGCTTGAAGTTTAATGGGGTAGGTTTGTTTAATACTGTATAGCCTTTACTCTGTTTTTAATGAGATATATCTCCAATCAAATCAAATTGAGTGATGTTATCGTACAACTTAACAATATCAATCTTCTGTTCTCCTAAATAAGCCTGGGAAACTTGAAAATTGCATTACAATGTGAATTCATTGTCAGTGAAAATGTAAAACAATACACAACAATGGGCAAATAATATTCCAGACCAATGATTTAAGTAAGAAGGCTTACATTTTATATCGAAACTGTTGCCGTTGTATATACATCAGGCGCGGATCCATGCAGGATTTCTTAAGGGGGGGGGGGGGGGGGCAAAATTTGAAATTATGCGAGCCAAATATTGGTTCGTAATGGTGACCAGCAGTGACGTATAATTGGGGGGTGGGTGGGAACAGGGAGGGGCGAGTTTCCCCCTCCCTCCTCCGCGAAACGCGGAAGCTTTGACATTTCAATGAATTATCAGAGAAAGAAGACGATTTGTTGTACCATTCCCAAAAAATAATCCTCGTCTGAATTTAGTTCCCCCCCTCCCGCGCTATATAAGCGGAAGCTTACGTTTAATTAAATCATTAGAGAGAGAAGACGATTCGTTGTGTCGTTATCGACTCTTAATCTTTGTCTGAATTTCATTTTTTTTCTTTGTCTCCTCCCTTTTTTTCCTACGTTCTCTTCCTTCCTTTTGCCCCCCCCCCCCCAATCCTCAAGTTGTTGGCGGGAAAATTGCAACTGATATCCCCCTTTTTTTCTTTTCTTCTTCCTCTTTTTTTCCTTCCCTGTATCTCCTCTTTTCCTTTTTTCTTTCCCTTTCCTTCCTTCTCTTTTATTTTTTGATTGGGGGGGGGGGCAACAGCCTGGGAGGCAAGTCCTTTTGCCCCCCCCCCCGGCCCCCCGATCTACTTTTCCCCTCTTTTCTTTTCTTCTTCCTCTTCTTTATTTCTCTTTTTCTCCTTTTTCCCTTTCCCTTCTTTCCTTCTCTCTCTCTCTCTCTCTCTCTCTCCTTTTTTTCTTTTTTTTTGCGGGGGGGGGGGGGCAAGGCCCGCTCGCCCCCCCCCCCCTGGATCCGCGCCTGGCTTGACGGAGCCTGAGTAACTGGAGGAAGAAGACTGTATGGAGGAGGATGATATTATACAGAGGAGGAAGAGGGGGAGGGTGCGCGGCAGGAAACGAAGAGCTATAGATTGAGGGGGAGGAATTAAAGTGATGGAGAAAAAAGGAGATGAAAAGCAGGAAGATTGGATAAAAAGAGAAGAGGAAGACAGAGGGAGGAAGAGGTGGGTGGAGAAAGAAGGTGGTCGATTTAAAGGAGCTGGTGGAATAAGGGGAAGAAATGGAGACATATTATTGTAAAGCTATATGCGTGAAGCATTTAAAGAAGAAGAAGAAAAGGGGGTAGAGCGCATAGAATCACCACGTATAGTCTTGCCCCCAGCCTATTGCTAGCTGTCTTTTCACCAACAACAACATCCTAAAAATTCTCCCTGTTCATGTCATTTTATATTCTCCCATCTACTGAAATAATAGTTGGTCTATCATTTAAATTAATAATTTGTCCCTCTACTAAATCTATCCTACAGATTTAAATTTGTATTTTTTGTACATAATTTATTTTGACCTCCAAATAATAACGGTACAAAGTAACTCCTTGAGGTATAGCTAACTATAGCTGCGATATTATCACTAAACGTACGTGGCGAAGTCTGGTTTGTCGTGGTAAAATCCCTTCTGTGTGCCGTGTCGTGATGTTAAAATTAATTTAGAACGACATTCTTATTATTGTGTAAGTACTCCTTTCTTAAAACACACGTTCAGCTTTTGAAAATCATAGAAATAAATTATTTAGACGGTTAAACTAAGTGGTCTTTTTTCACATTTGAAAGGTGTAAACACCACCTCCCATTGTACATAGCGAGCGTTACCCGCAGACCACCGGGGCGGTTCCCGGCGTAGCGCTTGCGCTTGGTCGTGTAGGTCGGTAAATGAGCGGCTAGCTTTAAATACTGAGTGAGAAGGATATTAAAGAAGAGAAAGAACTGAGTAAGAAGAGAGCTTGGGTATCTTTAAGCTTTTATCTTAATATTAGAACGAGGTACTCTTTGTATGTGTTTATGGTTAATCATGGAGAAAACTTGTGTGGCACATAAACTAGAAAAGTAGATTCTTGAACTGAAGTCTTTCACTCTTCCTTTGTCATTTTGTGTTGTGATCTTGAACTAGGTGTAAGTTTGGTTTGAATCTGTGACAATTTATTTCTCTTATTACTAGAGCTCAAGATTATCTTTAGAAGAAAACTTTTAAAAAAAGAAGGTTTTTTTAAAAAAGAATCTAAATCTTTTTAGGAGTACATATTTCATCAACGTTGGTCTGCAAATAATTGAAAGATTGATTAGGAATAGCATTTTTACCTTTACTTTCTTCTCTGCAGGAGTTTTAACCTGAAGATGGCAGCTAGCAAACCACCTGGCTTTTCGAGAAAAGAACCATGAGTGCCTTGACACTCCGGCATTATCAACAGCACCTTTAGCTGTGCTGGAAGACACTTCCTTTGTCAAGACAGTGCTCAAGCCCAAGAGCTGACGACTTCTTGGGGGTGTCCTGAAGAATGTGATTGGCCTAAGGAGTCTATCATACTGAGTATGGTGAAGGGTTTGGACTGGTTCAGGAACAAGTGGATGCTGCTGAAAGAGATCATGGCTCGCAACCCGGAACTCCTGAGTCTCTTCTTCGCCCTTGTTCTCTCTGGTATCGTCTCCCACTTGGACAATCCCAAAGGGTAGGTTGCTCCTTTCTAGAAACACGACTTAGGAATGGTTTAATGGCAGCCATTGATAATGTTCTAAAAACATAAAAGATATAAAAATGTGCCAATCTCTTGCCTCATTCAAACGTAAATACAAGCAACATCTAATGAAGGAATTTCCATCTTATGTTTAATTTCGCCTGTACATACTTGTTTATTTAATACCCACTCTTTCTTTTCTCTTTACTTAGTATAATCATCTGCGGCCATTATAGCCCAGCATGTGAAAGGCCAATGGCCTCTGATGGCTCCTCCATATTCTTTGTATTGTTTATATATTTGCTTATATGTATAATGTATTGTTGAATGTATTGTTTACGAGAATTGGAAATAATTGAAATGAAATAAAATGAAAAAAATGAAATGAATAACCATTCACTGAATGAAATCATCTTCATTAAAGAACCAGTTTACAGAATGTAGTAAGTTCACTTTCTGTTAGTCCCCAATGAAGCCAATTTCAGGTAACTCTATTGTATGCTGTTTATCATTTTATCCATGAGATCATATTGGCCTGCAATGATTTTGTCCTAGACCTTCTTGATAGATTTGGCTATATTTCACCAGAAACTGTGTTTACAATTTTTTTTCCTTAGCTCAAAGGTTAAGTTTTACTTCATACCTTTTCAAAGGTCAATTCTAGTCCTAAAGTTGACTTTCTAATGATCAATATTGCAAGGATCCACAAATTCCATATCCATTTTGTTTTGCCATCGTGAAACAGGAGCAAGGCAACACCCTATGTCATACCCATCCCTCCTAAGATATTTGACCATGAATCCCCCGTCATTGAGTTCACCACTGGAGACATGACGGCAGTCCGGAATGTGATAGCATCAACCGGAGCCGAAGTGTGGATCATCATGTATTATGCACACTGGGACGCCTACTCGCTGGAGACGGCCAAGGAGTTTGAAAGGACCGCCGAGAAGATGTCCGATCAGGTTAGTCTCACAAGGATGTACATGTAGGTCTTTGTATACAGTCAAACCTGTCTACAGCGACCGCCCAAGGGAAACACAAAAAGTGGTCTTTGTAGACAGGTTCCTTTAGTGCATGTTTCAATGAGAAACCATTTTCAAGGGAAACAAAAAATGTGCTTGTTGTAGACAGGTGGTCACTAAAGCAGGTTTGACTGTACATGTAGGTCTTTGTATACACCCTATCCTGTCTTGGCAGCCACATCTATATAAAGGCCACCTGTCTATAGTGGTCAGCTACATTTATACCTTCCTCTAGAAGGAACTTCCGTTGAAGAACCTGTCAAGAAAAGGTCACCTGTCTACAGTGGCCACTTTCTCTGTTTCTTTTGGGTGGCCTCAAGAGACAGGTGTGACTGTACTTTAGTAGAGGGTAGTTCTGGTAATAAAATCATGTTGGAATGACATTTGATGTGCATTTTTTGTTTGATTTATGTGTATTTAAAAGGCCATGTAATAATGATTTTGAAATTTAGAATTTTACAAAAATTTGCTAATTTGAATCTTTCACTCTGTAAAATTGACACAACCAGAAATTATATTGTCTCAAGCAGCTACAGTGATGCACAGGCAAATGCCTATATAAAGTACCATGAAAATACAACATTAATGAATACATTGGTATTTTAAACCCCTCTCACACAGAAGAATTCATAGGTTGCAGGCTACATAAAAAAGGCATTTAGAAGTCCTACAATTCCTCATAAATTTGTTAATTACATATCAGGATACAAAGGGCAACAAACAAATCTTGCAAAATAAGACTGAAAGCATCATTATAATTGGTAAGACATGCCAGATGTAGATCATAAATATAGCATGAAGCACAAATCTGTATTAATTGTAACTGGGCATCACATTGCTATCATGAAGAATTGTTTTCGATTCATCCTCTTATTGCAGGTGCTGTTCATGGCAGTGAACTGCTGGTACCCCTACGGGGCCTGCAGGCACAAGGTGACCGTCCCTTACTTCCCCATCCTCTTCACCCATCGAGACAGCCGGGAGGGCATCCAGTACACCGGACTCCAGAGGGCGCCAGAGATGGTCGACCACCTGAAGAGGGTCTGCTCCCCCTTGAAGGTGGTCCAGGACCTGGAGTCTTTGAGACTGCTCAGAGCACAGCATGATGTGAGTGACATGGGAGGATTTGTCTGGGCCCTGTTTCATAAAACTTGATATCAATAACAAGTTACAGTAACTGTTATAAGCTACTGAAATCATGGCATCTGATTGGCTGAGAGCAAATTTATCATAGAAACTAAGCATTTGTTATAGATAAAAAGTTTTATGAAACGGGCCCCTGGTTCTGGAAAGCATAGTTGTGAGAGGTAGTAGACTACAACAACAAATACTATTACTACTACTTCTACTACTACAAAGACTTCTACTACTACCATACATGCCAACTGTTCAGATTAAAGAGGAACATTCCTCTTTTTGGGAGAAGATAATTATCATTTTAATGCAGGTGTTCCTCTTCCTGTACAAATTTTTTCTGTAGTATTGAATAGGAGAGTTAGGATTGTTCCTCTTTTTTTAAAAAATAGCATAATTTGTACAGATTTCTGATTTTCAAATGTTGGCATGTATGCTACTACAAATGATGATGATGATGACGATAATGATGATAATGCTAATGACATACTATTTACACCTGAGTGGAGAGTGGTGAATGTGAATTAACATGTTGCCAAAGGACGTTAGTGCTGAGTTACTGTTGAGAGTCGATGAGTTAATGAACCCCACATCCAGAGGCATATCACGACGACTTACATCCTGGACTGTTATACCCAGACAACCTCACTTGAAAACTTCTACCTAGGAATCTTAAACTTATGACAATCCCTCACAATGACCTCCTAATAACATACCTGTATTAAAGATAAAGCTGAGTTCTGGTCATGCGATTGCATTGTGAAAAAACCATTGTGGAATTGATCTGAAAAGGTTTTTCATTTAGCACATAAGTACTTGTGTGCACTGCAAGGTTCTGGAATCATAAAAATGATAAGAAATTTGGCGCAGTCTTGGTAAAGTACAAGCACTGTGCACAGAAAGATGTATATTTTGCATGCCATATTTAACAATATTAAGGCAATTGAAGAGCCATGCTTTACAGGCAACATTTTGTATCTGATGTTCTTCTACACTTGCATAATACAATGATAACGCTCATAAATTAATATGTTTCACCTCTTCCCAGAATTCAACCTTCTCTTTAACTTTCTGACTGACTTTTACCATGGGGTCAGTATAGTGCGGGGATCTTATAGTGTAATTATTGCAATTAAATAATAGCACAAGAGATAAAACCTCATATGCACACTAATCACATAAGGCATATAATTTGAAAGTTGAAAAGAATATCACGCCCATCAGTTAAAAATAACACTTTCATTCATGCATGCTGGTAATGTTATTTTTTGGATCCTCACAAACAGTTTTCCTCTCTGATTCTTTCAGGCTGTAGCACTTGCCTATTTCAGCTTCGAGGGCACACTTGCACCCCAGGGCCTAGCCTCGTACCAGTGGGCTGCTATGCAACACCTAGAAAAAGACCCTGTCCAACCCACACCCTTTGCCATCATCACAAACAAACAGCTGGCACGCACTCTAGGCCTCACCAACTCCATGAACATCACTCTGCTCAGAAACTTCAATGTATCTTTGGTAAGTCGGTTGGAATGTCATGATATTGTAACGTACAGTCAAACCTGTCTAAAGCGACCACCCAAGGGAAACACAAAAAGTAGCCTTTGTAGACAGGTTTCTTTAGAACCTGTTCAATGAGAAACCATTTTCAAGGGAAACAAAAAATGTGGTCCTTGTAGACAGGTGGTCACTAAAGCAGGTTTGACTGTATTACAATGAGACCTGCTCTAGAAGTTGCGTGTATAAAAGGGCACATGTCTACAGGTTTGTTCACATATGTCGCATTAACACTCCATTATTTATGATATCTCGTGTACAATTATGGAGAAATGAAAGCTGAGAAATGAAGAAAAAAAAAGCCACATCGACCATGCTCATACTATGCGCTTCTATACTTTTGCCAAGGCGAGTTATAATGCCAGGGAATATTTTTTCGGCAAGTTATTGTAAATTTCTCAGTATTTTGCAGGTCTGAATAACCAAAGTACTGCATGCGTAACACTTCGCTCCTAGAAGCCAATTTCACTCGAAGTTGTATTGTACCAGACCTCAGGAATAACTACAGTCAAACCTGCTTTAGCGACCACCTGTATAGAAAGACCACCTGTCTACAAAGAACTCATTTTTTGTTTCCCTGAAAAGGGTTTCTCATTAAAACATGTACTAAAGGAACCTGTACATAAAGACCAATTTTCTTGCCATCCTAGGGTAGTCTTTAAAGACAGGTCTCGATGTATAATGTAATGTCACTAAAGTAATTCATCTACTTACTCTATGCGTACACATGCACACGATATGGGTACCACCTCAATTCCTTTTTGAGTACCGGTACTTCTGCCATATGGCTGTTATTAGGCCATATGATCAATATGATTATTGGATTTATATTACAGTCACTGATTAACAAGGAGAGTCTTTTAAACAGGTTTAGCAAATATGTTAGCCAATGTATCTAGATTAGGTATTCATCCTCAGTTACCTAGTCCCTCAGATAAGAAAAAAGACTTTGAGTTCCAGAGAGCTTACCATATTCTTGCTTTTAGCTCAGGGAAAGCCAAACAGTGTGTCAATATTATATTTTGGTTTAGCAGTTTAGATTAATCTAGCAGTGTTCAAAGTTTTCAAAAGGTCTAAATGAATCAGCTTTTCCTCCTCAAGTTGTCATCAATTATTTGTATTTTCCACACTTCCATAGTTTAAAAAGACAAAAATTTATATCAAATGAACCAGTGTAAATAAAACTTTTAAAATTCTACAAGGAGTTGCCAATTTGTATGGGAATAGATTGATTATAATTTTCATTCTGAGTTGCCAATTTAGAGACTTTTTAATGATTAACTTCAATTAAAGCGCTCTTATTGATGAAGGACGCAATGTGTTGCAACATAAACGGACTGGAAATGCACTTTCTAATCATGAACAACATAAAGTCAGAGCATTCTGGAAGAAAAGATAAAAATAAATTGGAACTCAAAGTTGACCTTTATAGATCTAATGAGTTCTAGTTCATTGTACTTATCATCACATGAAATCCAAACTTTTATAGCCTTTGAAGTATTGAATAATTCTGCACACTTTCATTTCATTATTGCTTTGATTCTGTGTTGCTCTATCTACTTTTCCAGTATTACCCTTCCTCTAGAGAGTTCAAAGCAAAGCCTATCGTTGAGTTTGTGACTACTCATAGAGAATCGGTGAGTATGAATCAGCCAAGATGATATCTATTGTTATGGTAATCTCTTCATTTTTCAACAGGGATAGTATTCTTAAAGCGCTAATCACCATATCAGATGGTATAGAAAATATGAATTCATTACGGCCCATGAACATATAGGACTGCATAAAAATGGACAGTCGCCCATGTACAGTTTTCATAAGGTGCCAAGACACCTTCCCTCAGATATCTGTGATTTTCATTGTTAAAAGCAGGGATGCCATTTTTGAGGCAATAGCCTGAATTCAGGCCCTGGCCAGTTATTTTCAGACCATAGTTTAGGCTTTTTTGTGTACAAATAGCTCATTCTAGGTGATTTTCAGGCCCTCTGATCAATTCTAACTGGCATCCCTGTAAAACGACACTAGTAATTCTATGCTGCCATGACTTTGTTTATATTCAACTAAACTGTTGAAAAAGGAATGTAAATTCTATAGAATGTAAAACCTATAGAGTGCTGGATGCTCATGATTTAAGAGTTCTGCAGGCGATGAGGAAGACAGTGTTAAGTGATGGCATCAATCTGGCATTCCTTTGACAAATGTATACAAAGCACTTCAGAAATTGTCAACGGAACATCAAAATATCTTGCACATTTATCAGTTGAGAAATTTTGAGACCATATTCGATATATTGCATTTCCATCTCCCGGCAACCAGCAGTACAAATTACCATCTTTATCAAATTTGTCCTCAATGTCTTGATGTCATTTTGCAGATGGTGCAGTGGATCGCCCCTCCTGGTCTGAAGAGTACCATCTTGTCTTCCCACATCTTCACCAGACCCACCATCATCGTATTCACCCCGCACCGGCACGATCAAGTGTTTGCCAATCACTTTATGATGGTAAGAATGAAAGAGGGCAACTCATTAGGTGCCCGCAAGAGGGCTGTAAGAGATATGTGTGTTGTCAATGACGGTAATGGCCTTCTTGCAGGCAGCCAACGAACTGCAGAATACCCCACCTTAGTAACTTTAACCCTAATGTTGACCCTATTTAACCATGTTCCAAAGTCGTAACTTAACATTATCCCTAACCCTCATCACGCAGCCAACAAACTGCAGAATACCCCCATTTTGCAAGTAACTTGAACCCTAATGCTGAGCCTATTTAAAAAAAAGACCTGTTCCTAAGGCATAACTTAACCTTACCCTTATCCCTAACCCTAATACTAATGAATTGTAACCCTAATTATAGCCCTAGTCCTACCCTTACCCCGACTCTCTTTCTATCACTATCCCTACCCCTAATGCCTCAGTCACACCTTTGCGTATTTTGCTTGCGTATTGCTGCGTATTTATGGCAAGCCGTTTTAACATTTATTCCTATTTCATGATATCAAGAAATGAATTCTTGATATCAAAAATTCAAATTCTTGATATCAAGAATTACCATTGCTTTACTACAGAAAATCATTTCTTGATATTAAGAATTCATTTCTTGATATCAAGCAATGGGAATCAATTTTAAAACGACTTGCCATACATACGCAGCTATACACGAGCCAATTACGCAAAGGTGTGACTGAGGCATAAGAGGTAGGGCAGTAGAGTATATTTATGATGCAGCTGTGGTATATAAAACCAATCATATCATTATTATCAGAAGGTGATGAATGATGCATTAATTTGTTCTTGTCCCCATACAGTTACGTGAAGCTACCTTGGAGTACTACAACTGTGCCAACAGCTCCTACATCCTCACACTGCAGAAGGCCATCAGGGAGGAGCGCAAAAAATATGCCTCTCAATCTTCAGACCCTGGTTCTTCTCGTGTAACCACACCCAATGAAGAGTGCATGGATGATGTTTCATCTAGAGAAAGCGACTGTTGTCAAACCCTCGCCTCCAGAGGGCGTATCGAGTCCATCTCGCGAGCCAGGGGTAACGTTTGTGAGATCTGCGAGACGTTCAGCCAGCCTCTTCAGCCGTCCAGCGACCCCTGTACCTATCTGACGTTAAGCTCGGGCTCGTCGTTGCTTATGGACGTCACCAACGGCGTGACTGCTTCGAGCAACGCGTGCCTGTACCTGAGCAACTTCTACAGCCCCTTCAGCCACTATCGCCTCTGCTGCCAGGATGTTGACCTCCTGACCTGTGACCTTTGCCCCACATTCCACTCTTCGGTGCACAAACATTCCCTTTCCAGTGGATCAATGCATTCTCACGGCACCAGAACTTTTGAAAGTCACCTTGCTCCCGAGCATAAAGCGTGCGATTGCTCCAAAAAATATCAACGTCTTTCAGGGGATCCTCTCGATTCCTTCACCGTTGTTGACTCCCAAACTGCATCCTCCTCAGAAGATGATGATAAACAATCCTGTCACACAAAATCTTCCAGGACTACAGTATATAACAATCAGGAAAATGAATTTGATGCTACTTCAGAAAGTCTTCAGAAAAAATTTGAACATCTTGGATGCAGAACAAATAGAACGTTAGTTTTCCGTGCAATGAGGTCTGAATATTTTTGGCAGATGGCAGATCGGCTAGGAATTAAACCGCAATCTCAACATAAAAATTCAAGTGTTGGGGTAGCCATCATAGATATACAGGTATGTTAGACTGTCCTATGAAATTGTTCTGATGAAGGTATATAACATGTGGTCTCCTATGTGCAAATGTGATTTATGATTTTCAGTTGATATCATACTGTATGATTTACAATGAGTTTATGTCAGCTTGATTAACTGGGCAAGCAACCAACCTACTGCATGATATACGATCATAGATTACGTAAGCCATTTTTGTCTCAAAGTGCATTTTATTGAACAGATTTCAAACTTGGCTTTGGTATACTATTCAGAACACATCCTCGGGTAATAATGTTGCTACCCTGCAAGCAGTAGACAGCAATTTGAATCCTGCTGTTTTTATTTTAATGTTCTGTCTTGTCAAGAGATGTTTATTTCGTGCAATCTTTAGCACAGGAAGAACATTGAAGTAACACAAAATAATAAACATGATCATCAGAAGTGGATACAGGACTTTGCAAAAAAGGGGGGGGGGGGGGAAGGGGAGTACATTTCTCAATAAAAATTTGGTATGCACGAAAGAACTAAAAAGGGGTTATTACATTTGTTGGTGCTAATTCACTCAAAAATCTCTCCGACACCCCTCAAAAATATTGAAAAGAAAAGGAGTATCAGATCTTCCATGTCCCTTTTGGGGTCTAAAGTTGGAAATGGGTGAAACAAGAACACAACTAAGGGGGAGGTGGCACATTTTCCTAATATTTACTTGAGGAAGTTGAGGTATACAACTTGACCCAAATTCACAAAGGAGGTTTAACTTAACCCATGGTTTAAACCCTCATTTATATAACCCATGGTTTAAAAATTAGCGCATAATAAGCTTACCTTGCCTTGGGCGCGTCTAATATTGGACCTCTGACTGTGTCACGCTTATTTTGCGCAAATTTTAGACCATAGGTTATGTAAATGAAGATTAAAACCCTGGGTTAAATTTAAACCTCCTTTGTGAATTCCGGCCCTTTGGTTTGAAAAGGTGATGGTACTGACCTGTCCCCCCCCCCCTGACTTGCAGTGAAAATTATGAATGATGTTATATCAACCGTATTACCTTCCTCCGCAGAGTGAAACCCACCATATCCTTCCATTGGACGAATCAGGATTGTCCCTGCAACTCCTGAAGCAGTTCATCGTCAACTACACCGAATCTCTCCTTTCCAGACACAGACATTCTACCTCCCCGTCCAGTACTTCAACATCCAACTCAAGGTGCACTAAGGCATCAGACAGTATATGCATCACAGAGGTTGCAGACGATACGTATGAAGATATGGTACTAAACACTGCCAAGGTAATAATGGATGTATCCCTTGTGTTTTTATTTATATTTCTGTTGTTTTTATGGGTGGGGATTTGCTTATGTGGTTTGTCGGTCAAGGTCAAAATCGCACATGAAAGAAAAATTGCTTGTAATCTGAAAGATCAAATCATGAATAAGAAAATTCTAAATCATACTCCATAATAGATCATCCAAAATATCAAATATTACATGTGCTCTATGAAATACAACTGCATTGTTACTTGTTAGGAAATGTATGAAATAATTATTCTCTATCACTGTCTAAATTTTGAAATTATAGGGGTGTGTAGTGAAATGTTGAAGTCTGATTGAACCGTGAATATCGTTTTCCTGTTAGTGTCAACAGGCTTGAGTGTCATACCCTGGCTATTACGTGTCACCGGACTGTGGATCATAAGGTTTGCGGTTCAAGCCCCCCCCGCGGCACTAATGTCCTTGGCAAGACATTAATCTACATTTGTCAATAAGTTCCAAAGCTCTATGGAAGCGCAAAGGGACGTTGTATAATGTGATATGCGCTATACAAGAACTTAATATTATTATTATTATGAGCTAACAAGTCCAATTGATCTTATTTTCACAGGATGTCTTGCTGCTGTACTATGCCCCATGGTGTGGAGCTTGCCTCAGAATCCAACACCTCTACCTTCAACTTGCCTCCCTCTTCAGGTCACATGACAGCCTTCGGATCGCCAGAATCAACGGTGACCTAAACGACCTTCACTGGCACCTCCTGACCCCAGCGTATCCCACAATCCTCTTCTTTCCCGGCCGCGATAAAGCGAGGAGTGTCAGGTTTCCCGAAGAAAGTGCAATCACGCTTCCAAATCTGGTTGATTTTGTGTTGAAGCATAGTAGGTAGAAGCTATTTTAATATATGGGTGAACTGTTAGTTTTTTAAGCAATATACAGCATTCTTTTGAGGGCATTCTGTTATCTCTTTTCTTGATATCACTTATCCAGTAATTTAGAGTTATTCAAATAGAGATAATCATTGAAGAGACATAAGTCCATCACTGTCATCTCTTTTGTTTAGTTTTTTACATTTTAAAGATGTGAGTAACCCTGAATTACTTGGGAATTCCTCTGTATCATTGATTTGTGATGCTGCATGTACAAAATTATATTAGGAAAAATAGAGATTTTTTTTCCTTTGCTGAGACATATACTGATGAAGATTTATTTTGGCTGGGAAATTATAAGGCTGACAAGCAATAAAGTTAGTCTTTATTATAATGACTTATTAAAAAACGTCCCTTGTAGCTTGTGATCAGTAATAAATTATCTATACTAAGATACACTGATCAAATATTATATATATTTTCTGTAAAGATACATGGCATCTTTCTGAATCCATATACCATGCCTTCTGATAGAGCTAGATAAGAATAATAATATAAACATTTTCATTACAAATCTTAAATGTTGAGATAAAGCTTTGCCAAATGCTGTTTTGTTGACCAGACTGCACCTTTATTAATTGAAGACAAGTTGACAGAGTTAGAGTTTTTCTGTGACAGACTAATTGTCATTTCTTTTCCCCCAAATGTACCCCCTTTCCCCTAAATGTAACAGTTTCATCATATATCTGACAATATTGATATTTTATTGTAGCTGCTCAAATAAATTATTCCTTGCCGGTATGCCAAACTTTGTGACCTAATAAAACTGCTGGATCTAAAGCATACATGTTCTGTTCTTCATGATATATTTATAAACAGGATATATTATTTTGTGACAGATTATCAAGTTAGCCACATTTTAGATACAGACATTGGCTAATTGTTGGGTATACTTTGACATATACACTTCTTTAAATTGAGATCTCACTACATGATAATTGTACTTCCTTTTAGCCTTAACCCTTATTTTAATACAAATCTAGAATGATTTGTTTTTTGTATTCATAGCATCTCTGCAATGGTAATGTGAGAAGTTGAATCTAGTACATCAAACATTTCTTTGCATAGCATTGAATTGTGAAGGAAATGTGAATGTTGTGCAATTAAAGTTGTACAAAACTCCACACTTGCTTAAATAATGTGTGCCTTGCAAAAAGGGTGTTAGTGGAGGCTGTTGAAGGTTGTACACTTTCCATAACAATGTGTACATCCCACATTACCCAACACTGTTCAATCTGTACACCATCTAAATGTTAACAGTAATAACTAATCAGTTCTATGTTTAATTCATCCTTTCACTACAAACTAAGAAATGTAGAAATTTGATAAAATTTGTGCTTGTGCCCTTCTGCCGGGCACACAATGATGTATGATTTAGTACTAAGACCAAACTGTATGTTATATTGTTCGTTTGGAGCCAGAAGGGTGTTAACTCCCATACTTTATCACAGAGTTTATGCCCATTTGGCTCCATACAGGCAAAATTATTTTTGTAATTAACCAGCCTTTTGAAAAAAATCAAGATCTGTATGTATATATTGTATGTCTGATTTTTTGATTATTTTTTTGTTATTGAATTTTCTCAAAGGGATTAAAGATATGATTCTTTTTGAATATATATATTTTTCTTGCCAGCTTAATTCTAAATAAGTCAATGAATTGAGGCTAATGAAATTGTTTATTATCATGACATCATGCTCTTAGACCATACAGATACATCAAGGAAACTACATTTTCTCAAATTTGGTGATAATGGCCAACAGTTAGGCAACAAAAGAATACAGTTTGTTGTAATATTTGAAAGTGATTGCAGACTGGGAGCCTGCGCATAAGCTTTGTGGTTCACCGATAAGACTACCAAATTTACACTTGCTCTTCTTGTTTCTGTGGAGAGTCACCATTCCTCTCCTAACTTAAAAGTGTACATGAAATTGCTATTTCTTTTTTGAATATGGGGTCGGGCTAACTCGGCTAAAAGACAACTCGGCCCAGGTTTAGGGTTAGGGTAAAATGAAAACAACAAAAAATGACAAAAAATGACCGTTCTTGCAGATGGGCCGAGTTGTCTTTGAGCCGAGCTAGTGACAGTTTTTGTTATAAGCTAGGGAAATCCTTGCTTCTGATTGGTTATTAGCAGATTTGTCACTGATTTTTCTCATTTGTCATTGAAAATAGGCTTTGTGAAACGAGTCCCTGATCTGGCAGCAATTGCTCTGCATTCAGTATCATTTAATAACCAAATTCTGAACTTCAGCCCTGGACCAAATACTAGAAATATCACTAACCTCAAAATAAGTGCAACCATAACCCTAATGCTATATATTTTATGAAATAAAGACTGGAGCAATTGTCGCCAGAGCAAATATTGGGGAACCGATTTTAGAGATATTCATACCAAGATGTGCATAGAATTTCTTTAAATTTTGATTGATTATATTCCCCTGCTAGATGTTCATCATTCTTAAAACTTTCAGGCTACATTGTAATTTTGAAAAATAATAGGGACCAATTCATCTCTATGACTGTCAAAATGTAAATTAAAACTGATGGGAAAGATTTGAAATGATTAATTAAGGTTTGTTTGACGTAGTTTAGTTCTTAGGAATGTCCAAGACCTCATTGTCAGATATTTGTGTTGCTAGGGAACATCCTTAGGAAGTATTTGTTCTTGATCACATATATATATATATATATATATATATATATTATATATTGTTGTCATTAAAGTATATTGTCAGAGTAGGTTATACTTCTCTTGGATCATGATATTTTCATGTAAATGTTGTTTCAATCATGCTATTGTAATTGATAGGAGAAATTACAATGTATAACTATTATAAGTATTTGCTTGCCCCTGTACATCCCACCCTCGTCACACACTTCAAAAGCAGAATATAATTTGTCAGGAACCATTACACCCTTTTTTGTGGAAAATGATAAAATTCTGCTCAAGTGCTAAAAAAGCATTATTGCTACAATTGCATTCTTTTATTTTCCAAGTGCATTTCCCAATAGCACTTGGGACAAAATCACCACCATGTAATATTTTACCCATCCCAATGTGTTTCATTGCTTATCTTATGTGTTTGCTTGATATCACAACGATTGTGTTATCTAGAGCATTTAATAGTTCTTGGTAGTTTACATGGATTTCTAGTCCTTAGTTATATTGACTGACATGAATTGATATAACGAATTGCAAATCTTTATGATATGGGGCTTAGAACTGATTGCAATGTATATACATGCATGACTTTGGCTAATAGTCTTTGGGGGTGTTTCACAAAGAGACCTAAGTTGAAATTATCTCTAAGTTGGACTTGACAATTATGGAAAGCCTTTAGCATCTATGAAAATATTTTGTGAAAGTTATATAAAATGTTGATTAAAATCATTCATATCTTCTAATATCAAGGAGATTTCATGTGCTTGATGTGGAATTTATGAAAAAAAATCTATAATACTTGAATTTTTGCTTTTAAATATATTTACAAATGGCTCTCCATCATGTTCAAGTCCAACTTAGAGTTAAGTTCGACTTAGGTTCTTTGTGAAATACCCCCCTTGATAATTATTTTGATGATTATCAAATGGGATACATGTCTAGTAATTTATGACGACCCAGTGGTGTCGGATATCCCACTGCTGCCACCATGATGAGTTTGAGGGTCTTAGTAATGGTAGATAACTCACGATAATATAGAGTGGGCAGTCAGGTTTGTTATGGTAAACATGTTATTTACCGGTATTCAACTACCACAGATACCGAATATTCGAAAATATCACATATCGTAACAGACCATGGTAATTTATTATGCACAAGAGGGTGTTATAATGTATTGACAAATTATGAATTTTATATATAAAAGAGAAGACTGAATAAATATATGAACATTGCATTTTGTGGCAAAGCTATGGTTTTATTTTCTTGTAATCAGTGTGTAGCATCAGATATTCGCTCTTCATTATGCCGGTGTTGATCATTTGATAGCTTACAATACGTTTAAAGATGAAGTTGAGTTCTGGTCATGCGATTACCTTGTGAAAGAAACGGTGTGGAATCGACCAGAAAAGGTTGATCATCTAGCATATAAGAATTTGTGTGTATTGCAAGGTTCTGGAATCATCAAAATGATAAGAAATTTGGCCAAGTCTTGGTAAAGTTACAAAAACTGTACACTGAAAGATGTATATGGGACTACACGAACACGTGGCGTAAACTTTTTCTCAGTATTTTAGTGTGCTTTACATGGATTGGTAGCACTCCACTATCAAAGATATCTTCATATCGAGTGTTGGCAAGAATGCAGAATTATTTCCTTTTTCTTTCGTCGGACTCTAGTTTTGCTTTCATGCTGATAGGCATTTCTGGTGGTGGGGGGCGGGGCATGAGGAAGTAGATCTTGAAGGAATCGTAGATAAACCACTGCAGTGCTGTCAGGGTACCTATCATGGCAACTCTCGGTACAAACCCTTTCCAAAGGCCAGACATACCAAGAGATCTGGCTGCTTGGACCATGGTACTTCCCGCATCCTGGTTCAGCTTAGACACAATGGAATCTGCAGGATGGGACACCAGGACGCAGAAGACTCCAGCTATGTAGCCTCCAACGAAGGTCACCACCAGTTGCTGAGGCTTGCTGCAATCGTCGCGGGGCTTGGACAGGACGTACTTATAAAGGGCTTCCACAGTGCGCTCAAAGCAGGCAAACTTCATCATGGTGTAAGGGATTTGGCGGAACCAGAGCGGTGGCAGACCTTTGTAGAAGCTATGGAAGCCTTCCTGGGCCCACATCTTTGGCAGTGCTTCTCTCAGGGTCCTTGCAAAGCCTGGTTGTGTCTGCATCCTGACCTTGGCAGCTTCCATTGGACTCAGGGCGATGTCTGCAAAGAACTCTGCACTGGCACTTGCAGCTAGGTAGACAGAGGTGCGATACTTGTAAGACCACTCCTCTCCCAGGATGGCACAGTATTTGATCTTGAAGAACTCGTACAGCCCAAACTTGTGCATGCCCTGGAGAGAGTAGCCAATTGCTGTTGGTGCCCAGCCAATCGCGAGACCTCGGATGCCATCATTAGCAATGGTCACCCTGAACCCGTTTAAGGTATTCTTGTACGTTGCAGGATCAACCTGTATCCTGCACTTGACGACATCCAGTGGTACCATCCCAGTGTGGGTGATTCCACAGCTCATTATTCCTGCCAGTCCACACATGGCAAGGTACTTGTTGGATCCAAACTGTATTCCTGACTGAAGAGCATCTGTGGATGCTGCAAGAAGCCGTTTTGGGTACAGGTCTCCATTTTTCCTTGATCTGCAGGTGTACCTCCTTTTCACTTTAGGTTCCTGCAGACTTTTCTCTGCTGTTGTAGGATCAATACTCTTAATATAGTCACCCATGGTGCTCTTAATTTCCTGGATGTAAATGCACAACTAGTTAAGAGGACCAGTTTAAAGAATAAGTGTGTTTCCGTTCGTCAGTATATACCTTCAAAAGTTATATTCAGCAGGATGGTACCACGCATGTCGCTATCTGGAGACTGGCGTACGAACTGCATGCCAGAGCTAATTGTCAAAAAGGCTTGGAACTTTCAACAAATGCTATTCAAAATGTCAAAGATATAGAACACAGCGTTATTGTCGTCCCAAAGTGATCTTGTAATAGTCTATATAGATAAAACATTTGCGGTGTTAATGGGCACTCCTCTTCTGGCTCTAGTTTGATAATAATTACTAGCGCAACGCTGATGCAATCATAATGTCAATGTTTCACGAAGTGTGTATACTAGCTGTATGAGTTATGATATTGGAAGCTCCGAAACCTAAAATGTAAACAATTGCGGTCAACACTTGACCCGATGCTCGATCCGTGCTCGATCCGTCCGTAATCCGGTCCGTAATATATCGGATATACGATAAGTCCGTCTCGTTATATATTACGTGTTTTCCTTGTACAATGGAAATAATATTACAATAATTCAACTACCGGAGAATGTACAGGTCCAAAATATGTTTGAGCCGATGTGTGCAAATATATGCAATATAATTCATGTTGAACACGAGCTAATATAACGCCATTTCATTCCGCAACTCAAAATCCATATTAGACATGACGTGTATATTGTATGATGTATATTTAATCAATCATGCATGGCATGTTATACTTCCGTGCATTGTTGATCTATCTTTTTCTTTTTTTTGATGCGGGAAATATGATTCAGAGTGGCTGCTACATATTTATTAATTAGGTTCACTTTAGCGGCATGCGGCTTGCTAATAATAGGCCTATATATATATATATATATATATATATATATATATATATATATATATATATATATGTATATATATATTATATATACAACATTTAGTCATGCATTTACAACAAAAACAGAAGCAAACGAACAAAGAAAACACACAAAGCCCGGCACAAAAGAATCCAACAAAATATTACTATTTTTAGGTTTTCAACGGAATGTCGCCCTTAAACTAATTGCTGTAAATCCAAGGTGTGAATATATTTCTTTCGATAGAAATACCATATTCATCTTTTTTTAGTAGGCCCGTTTTAGTCGCCAGCCTAAAAGTTCTTTCGAAGAAGACATTATATAGGGACTATAAGACCTAAACATCGTGGCGCTCATTATTTTGTACTCCTCATCATTATCGTAATTCAGATCTCGAGTTCATATATAATAATGGTATATTTTATTAAATCACTCAAAACAGAATCTTAATACTTACAAATAATTGAAGAGTATCATTACGAATCATTCAACGGTAACACAATTAAGACTGATTATGAGAACGTTGAAAAGTAACATATATATATTTCAAACCTCTGATGAATATGACAATGAGTTGCAACATTGTTATTGGTATTCGGAACCACATAGAGACAACAATGTAAGAGCTCAAATCTTAACAATTGGAGGAATTTGTTACGAAATATTTAAGGAGAAGAAACTAATATGTTGGGAATTTATCTTTAATAGTCATAACATTGTTATATTTCTATCATACATATTACATGTAGAGCTGAAATGCATACGGTTCTTTAATAAGCATGAACTTAAAACGTTGAAAAGAAGATAACACCGCTTTCAACAATAATCTTGTGTTGCTCATTGCCTAAAAAATTGTTCCAACTTTGTTTTTATTCGATGGAAAAAAAAATCACCGGGGGGGGGGGGGGGGGGGTGGGTGGGATATACTTACATATTAAGACATACGGGCACGTGCCGCTCCGTAATGAGGCGCTTTTTAACGAAAATTACCTACTGTAATATGAGTACCCTTTTAAACAAAAATATCACTAAACGTGGGTCCGTTTTTCCAAAATTTCAAGATTTTTCGGGTGTATTTGCATGACGAACACCCTAAAATTGTTTAAAAAATGGGCCTTTATTTGAAGACTAACACTTTTTAAAACGGGTACCTTTTTCTGCCCAAATTACCCTTGAAATGGGTAGGGATTTCGAGGTTTGAGCGGCACACCCCCGTCCAAACGAAATATAGGGGGGGGGGGTGAATAGGCGAGATAACGAGTAGGAAGTAGAATTGGAGTTATTTCGGCTGCATTCTGGGGTCGAGATTTATTGGCATTTTCTCGCTTAATGATCCCCGACCCCGTTCTCTTTCTCCCTCTTTCACCTCTCCTTGTCAGTTCTTGTTCAGGTAAGTGGATCCTGCCACCCTTCCAATAAAGATTTAATTATCGATGTGTTGAATATACAAGTCTGGTATACGTGGCATCCGGCGATTCGACATTATTTGAAGAAAGCATATCCTTTGGGTCTTTTTTCTAAAAAGGTAGGCCTAACCACAGGGTTAACCGTATGTTAAACAACGGAGTTTCTTTGTACTTAAATCTTTTTTTAATTCACAATTTAAACACGAGACGTCCCCACCCTCTCCCCACCTTCCGATCCCCAAATAATCTATACTAATGCCCCGGCTTTGACGTTTTATCCTCACCTACATCCTTCTTTTTGTTTTCACTGTAAATTTTTGCTGTATGATATCTTTTACAATGTCTATGTCTTGGCCTTTTTCGTCCTCCTAGACCCCATCCCAGACATCAACGATGATCATTTGTGCCCCCCCCCCCCTCCAGTCGAGTTGAGAGTGGATGCTTTTTCAATTTTCTCCCAGACCTTGGCTATAGCTATATCGAGTACGTACCTCTTGTACGGACGCCCTCTACGTTGCATGTAGCATTAACCTATCTTGCAAGTCATAGAATTCATGACGACAGGGTCTCCATTTAGACTGTTAAATAAACCTTTCCTGATCAGTTCATTCTTCATTATTTGATTCAGTATGTCGGGGACTATTGTAAGTATTGTTAAGGTTTGTACAATTATGGCAAAATTCTATAACATAATTTTAGTAGTTTTATCAATGTTAGAATCGGTCGTTCTATCTTGGTGAATGCGATTTGGCCATTGAGTGCAATACATTGCCAGTGCAGTGGTGCATACACGCATACCACAGGCCAGGACAGGTCAGCCTAGTCAATTCATTGTCACCCAATCGAAATCATTGGCAAATGCACTGCCACTTGCTTTGATTTTGCCCTTTGCCTGTGCCTTTAAATTTTCATGGATTTCGATTGGCATTGTTTATTTGCAGGCACATTTCTTTGCTAGTCACTGTCTTTTTAAAGGTCTTTACCACTAGTATTAGTCTATGATTACAAATCGAAATAGTGAAATACAATCTTCAAAAGTTCAAGAATTGTATCAGCCAGAGGCCAGAGGCAGAGAGACCCACAACCAAATGGAGATGTTGAGTCTTGAGACTCTCTCCCATGTGAGAGAAGTATAATATATTGGAGCCTCTGCATACAAAAATACAAAATAAACAACACCAACAACAAGGTAGTTTTACCCCGCCAAAATGTTGCCACCTCATGAGTGGATGAGCATGATAATAACAAAAATGTTATGAAAACAAGAAATAGACATTGAATATTAAAGTAGACAGACCAGAGAAGGGTATCTTTCATTGAGGCATACATCATTAGACCAAAACGCTTAAAAGGAGAAATTCTTTTCATCACCAGGCCAGGCACGGCACATATCCATTTAGGGTATCAAAAACGGGAAAAGTCTGGAAAAGGGGATATTAAATTCACTGGTGATAAGAAGCTATGACTCCGGTTATGTGCTGGCTTCCTTGTTGCTGAGAGAGGAAAATTGCATTTGTTTATTGTTGCTGGCAGTAGCAGAGCAGTAGAACTAGAAGGCAGCAATTATAAGTTTCACCATGATCATATTGGTTTGACAATACTTACAAGGTTACATTATAACCTCATAATTTGGATGAGTGGTCAAACCCACAGTTGACACTCTGGATCATTCAACCAATGCACGCAATTTGTTGTCTAACTTGTACTCTGGTTATTTTTAATGGCTTATATCTTCTTTTACATCTCTATTTACATCCAGATCATACGGATCCAGTCCCCTGACGGAAACAAACGAGTCACTGTTCCCCCGACAACATCCCTCTACAAGTTCTTCCAAAAGGTAACATATTATCCTTGCTTCTTATTTTTTGGTTGGGGGGGGGGGGGGGTGACTCACTTCAAGAGATGGTTTGACTCACTTCAAGAGATGGTTTGCTTTTATTATATATTTAATTGAAATTATATCATAAGAGCAATCAATATTTACAGATTATTTATGTTACCCCTGTTAAAATGTCACAATTTCTTTGAATTTTATGATGTTCTTGTTCAAATATTGTTTGTTGTTTGTTGTGTGTGTAGGTTTCACAGACAGTGTCGCTCCCTGCCGATGGCTTTCAACTCTACAAATCTCGGGACAAGACAGAGCAACTTAAAGCCTCTAGCAAAGTCACACTTAAATCACAAAATATCAAGTAAGCTTACTTCCTATAATCCATTTTCATAATTTGTTAAACCTAAATTTCAGGTTTCATTGAAATCACTTGGTACAGTGAAATACAGTATGTTTTAAAATCAGTCAAGTGAGAGACTAAAAGTTGTCTTTATATGCAGTACTCTTTTTATATGTGTTACTTTACTTTTGAGTAATAGCAAAATGTTCAAGGAAAACAGAATGAGTTGAGTGTAGAATTGACAGGTTGTCTTTTTAATAAATTTGACTTGTCAAGTAAGCAAGTAAGCATGTTTTGACATCACAGTTGCTCTAGAAAAATGTTACTAATTTCTATTGTTCTCTAATGCCCTTTCTCCCTTGGGGTCCTCTAAAGGGAATAGACCCTCTAGAGCCATACATTTAATTTTGTTGTTGAATTTTAGTAAAATGTGAAGGTTGTTGCCACTACATCAAAGAGACATTGACAAATTCAGCCAGTTTGAAAAGCCCATACCTATAGTAATCACAACACTAAAAAAGTTATAAATTTCTCAGTTTGGGTCCGAATTCATTCAAACTTTCATATCCGTTAACTTCTCTGATGTTTGTGCTTTCCTCTCGAGTAGTTTGCTTTCAAAGTTGGATTTCCCTTTAAAGGCTATACCTCTTTGAGAAATCTGCACATTGGAACAATAAAATGTTCACTGTTGCTATTGTGGCTTTTTATTGGAGAAAATTTATAATTGAAATTTGACATTTTGTTCCTTTGCTTTCTGCAGACATGGTGATATGATACACCTGTACCCAACTAAAGTAGAGGTGGATGGTATCGCAGAGCCTTCATCACAAGAAAAATCATCTCTTCACACCTCCTCTTCATCGTCATCTTTATCATCATCCTCGTCATCACAGCCCGTGCCATTGGTTGTTGAGGACGAAGTCGACCAGTTTCTATCGAAACAGGATGGCAAAATCTACAGGAAAAGAGATGAACAATTGTGAGTAGCATTTTAGGACCAGTTGAGGTGTGTCAATTTGATCTTTGGAAGGAGTTTCATGAAACTAGTAGTTTGTAAACTTGGTTCAAAGGTCATGCAGGTCAGGGTCATGGGTTCAAGCTCTGGCATGGTACCAGTGATCTTTGGAAAGGCATTTATGTACATTACTCACTCCTTACCCAGGAGAGGAATGGTGGCCTGGCAGTATGCTGTCCTTGTAACTACATATTTATAGGCCATCATGGTAACTATATTGCAGGAAGATTAGCAAGGAAGAAGAGATGTTGCAGATATTACATGTATGTGATTACCTGAATTGACTGGGTGGTAATAACTGTCTTGACATAGAGAAATTTGTATGCACTTTAAAAAGCTAGAAGGTAATTGTTATTCATTTGTCCAATGTAGGCAGTGTTGCCATGTAAAAAATAATTACTATTTTGTTTTAATCCCATAATAATTCAATTTCTATTTCAGATGTCATCATGGTGTCAATGCAAAGTGTGTCCATTGTGTACCTCTAGAGGTAAGTGTATACCTGGCATCCCTATATTATGGGGGAGAGAGAGAGAGAGAGAGAGAGAGGGAGCAGGAGGAGGGGGAGGGAGAGGGGGAGAGAGAGAGAGAGAGAGACAGACAGAGAGAGAGGGGGAGAGAGGGGAGGGAGAGAGGGAGATGCTGATGGGGAGTTGTTTTTTTTTGGGGGGGGGGGGGGGGTTGAAGTTCTAATTTTCTCATATTGGGTCCCTCCACAGCTCCTTGAGAAGGTGAAAGTGAATTTAAATGTGTTAAATGATTACTAATGCATCATATTCATAAACATATTGACATTTTTCTGCCCTCTTTTCGTTTACAGCCACATGACGAGAGATATATCAACGACCACGACCCTCCCATCAAGCATCTATCCTTCCATTCTCACATCAGGAAACTCACTGGCGGGTTTGATAAGTAAGCATCATGGATCTAGATATTAGTTATTCAGTGAAACCTGTATATAAAGACCACCCACGGGAGACAAGAAAAGTGGTCTTTATAGGCAGGTGGTCTTTATGTACAGGTTCCTTTCGTACATGTTTCAATAAGAAACCATTTTCAAACTAAGAGCATGGAAAATGTGTTTACCTGTTGCTGTCTGAGGACAGTGCTTTCAACGTAGATAAAATTTTACAAGTGCAACACTGGAAAGACAGCCCTTTATGGACTTGCACACTTATCCTGCAATGCTGATTTCAGTGGGATCATTTATAACCAGCAGCAGCAATATAAGAAACAACATCAGTCTTCATCTAACCGGTTTTTGCCAAAGCAGGTATCATAGTAATAAGCAACAGTAACAAGCAGCACCTGTATCAAATCAATAGCTTGCAAGTAGGGGACTTATTGACCTTACCAAGTCGTAAAGGGACTTGGTAACATTATTCAGATCAGAGAAAATGGTGCTAAGGTAGTAACTTTAATGCTAGATGTACAATGAAAGATAATCTGAAAGTTTGAGTAAAAACAGACCATTATTAACGATACAAATTGGGAAAAACTGATCTGATCGATTCCTTAATTCTCCCAACTATATTTTTACAATTTAATTACATTTTAGGTGAATGCAAATCGTCACAAAGCAATGAATTGGCTCTATATACCATTCCAGACATCCAAGTGTTGAAAGGCTTTTAAAAGTCTGTCTTATGTCTTATTTTTATGGAAAAATGGTTTGGAAAATTAAAAAATGGTCGGGAGAATTTACTGTTAGAATGTGTTGTACAGTGACACCTTTAAAGAAAACCATAAATATCTTTGTGGTTTGAGAATTTTTCAGGATTTTTTGCATGTCAGAGGTATAGTACAGTAGATGGAATATAATAAGTAACATTTCATACAAAAATTACTCAGTTTTTTCATCAACTTTCAACAATGTTACCGAGTCACTTTAATACCTTACTAGTGAACCATGTGTAGCACTGAGTCTCACTGCTTCCTTGTGATTGAGTAATTGTCAGATAATAATGTTTACCTTTTCAATTTTTCTTTTCCAGGGGAAAGTTTGCATTTCTAGAGAACATTAGCTGTAAGATCAAGCCAGGGTGTACAGAGCACTCACCGTGGCCCAATGGCATCTGCACCAAATGTCAACCAAGTGCTATTACGTTAGATAGACAAGTAAGTTGAGATCTCTCTCTCTTATCAGTTAGAGGGTAAGACCTAAAAAAAAAAGATGTTGTATTGCCCTTTAGGTGCCAAAACATGGGTTGATCGGTCAGGAATCTTTTTTTTTTTTTTGTACTCCCTCTTTGGGCTGATATTTCTCAATTTTTAATCTTTTAATACTTTTTTTCTTCTAAAAAACAGTAAAAAATAATTTTTTTTTAGAGAGCCTACCGTAGCCTTAAAAAGATTTTGGGGTCGGTCGCAAAGGGCAATACAACATATTTTTTTTAAAGGCCTACTGTTTTAACCATCATTTAAAGCTTTTTTGGTATTTGATTTTTCACTCACTTGCTTGTAGTATTAAATTGTTGAGTTGGAGGGGCCGCTTGGTATCTCTATACTGTGAAATTGTGGTAGTGATTGCTTTGAAGAGATTGCTTTACATTTACTGACTTTAGGGATTACTTTGTTGGCTTGCCTTAAAGATAGTGGTGCTCAGGCGCGTACACGGGGGGGGGGGGGGGGGGGGGGGGGGGGGGGGGGGGGGGGGGGGGGGTTGGGGGTAAACTTTGGTAATTTTTTGTGTGTAAACCCCCCCTAAATTTCCCTAAAACCCCCCCTTTGGATTTTTTTTTTTTTTTTTGGCCGGCGCGATTTTCAAATTTTCGGGAGCAAAATATTTTTGGTCAAATTTTAAACCCCCCCCTTGAAAAAATCTGCGTACGCCCCTGGTGGTGCTTACTCAAAAAGTTGAAGAAAAGTGTACACAATTTAAGCTGCGTCACAAAGAAATGATGATTTGAGCTTGATTTTGCAATGCAGTGATAATGTGTGTGTGCCATGTATGAATAATTGGTGAAGTGTGCCCAACATGTAAAACAGACTTAGAGGCATTGAAAAAACCCTCATTTGAATACATATTTTGGAACCATGAAATAATTTTGAGGAAGTGAGATCCAAAAACATAGCTAGGAGAACATATTCATTATTGTTCACTCAGCATAAACCGCTTATCCTTTCTCCAAGAAAACTATGTCTAATTTTGTCACGCTTCTCATCCTTCCTGCAGCATTATAGGCACGTAGACAACGTCATGTTTGAGAACCCCATGATGTTTGATCGCCTTCTAGACTTCTGGCGGAAATGTGGGAACCAAAGAATAGGCTTCCTGTACGGGAAGTATGAGCACCATAAAGATGTTCCTCTAGGGATCAAAGCAACAGTCTTGGCAATCTATGAACCTCCACAGGTAAACATGCATATTTACTTGTATTAAATGTGTTTCATATAACATAGTTAAAGATAAACTTGAGTTCTGGTAAAAAAAGAAAATGAATTCTCACAGAATCAAGCAAAACTTACATTGAATGTTCAAGATTACAAATAAATGTCATGTGCCAAACAATTTTGGAAGAAATGTATACTGGCTGAGTAATGAGCATAGAAAGATAAGGAAATCAAGGTAAGCTAGCCCAACACCATTTGTGTAGTCCCATATACATCTTTCTGTGTACAGTGCTTGTTACCTTTACCAAGACTGGGCCAAATTTATTATGATCTTGATGACTCCAGAACCTTGCAGTGCACACCAATACTTACACGATCAACTTTTTTCTTTCACAATGCAATCGCATTACCAGAACTCACCTTTATCTTTAACAAAGGTTATGTGAGGTTCTTACAGCCCCTCTCAAGTGTTGGGAGCCCAAAGTTTGTAGGCAAAAATTAACTTAAATTGTTCAATGATGTAAAAGGTATGTCATTTAACACACACTTCTGCGAGGATTTAAAAAAAAATGCGTTTGAAGACGAATATTGATGACAGAATGCCATATTTGGGTTAACTGTTGTATGCAGAAAACCTCAGTTTTGTATTCTTTTCATCAATATTTATCTTCAAACACATTTTTTTTTTAATCATTGCAGAAGTGCGTGTTAAAGGACATCCTCTATCACATCATTAAGGGAACCTAAACCTTCATACTAAGTTACTTTTATTGTAAATATTAAGATATTTGAAAAATATCAGTGAAAATTTGAACAAAATCAGGCAAGGAATAAGGAAGTTAGAGCTCTTTGAAATGACTAGTCACAAGAGGGCGGTATTCAATTTGATGAAATGATCTGAGGACAACTCTCCATGCCATTTGTACATCAAATTTCATGTTTTTCTTCTTTCTTGCGATTGAGATAATCTACTCCCCTGAAACCAAGATATAGAATGCAAAATGATATTTACTTCACATGTTATGAAGTAGGATCAAGAACACAAATAAATACGAAGAAAACAAAAAAATGGTGAAATTTTATGTACAAAAGGCATGGAGAGTTGTCCACATATAATGTCATCAACTTGAATACTGCCCTCTAGTGACTAGTCATTTCAAAAAGCTCTAACTTCCTTATTCCTTGCCTGATTTTGTTCAAATTTTCACTGATTTTATTCAAGTCTTTTAAACTTTACAATAAAAGTAACTTAGTATGAAGGTTTTGGTTCCCTTTAATCATTATACAATTTAGGTGAAATGTTGCCATCAAATTTTTGAAGCTCCCAAGGAGAGAGGCTTCAACTATGATAATAATGATATTAGATTATACTTTATTTTGTATATAACAGTGTCTCTATGCATTTAACAGGTTATAATTATAGAGAAATTAATTAATCTACCTTGTTGTTTTATTTCTGCTTCTCCATTTTAATTACAATATCAACTTTTATGTAATAATTTTATTGCTCATCTTTGTTACTATCACATTAATATTTTGCAAGATATTGTACCATGATGATGATATTGAAATTAGTTTTTTAAGAATGTGCACAGTAATTTTGTTGTGCAAGAGAAATTATAGAAAAACATGATCAATGTTGTTAATCATTTTTAGATTTGCAAGCAAAATTGGTATCAAGTAGTTCTTGCTTTCAAGTAGATTTCACCAGGCCAAGTAGAATCTACAGGCACGTGACATAAGTCGGATTCTACTTTGATACTTTGATACTTCATCTCATCAATTTCAAATGTTTTCTTTCATTGATTCCTTATCATTTCAGAACAGTACATCAAATAGTTTAGAATTACTAGAAGATCCCTTTGCAGAAGCAGTCGACTATGTAGCATCCAAATTAGGTCTTTGTAAGGTAAGCTTTGCATGGTCTTTCTTGTACATTTAATCCCGGCCCCCCACTCAGTGTTATTTAGGGTACGCATATGCGTGTTCCAAGCGACCCCCCCCCCCCCCCTTTTCAGCAAAAGTCTGGTGTGTAAAGTCAATACGGGTCGACCTTTTTCTTTTGTTATACGAGCCTTTTCAGCACCCCCCCTTTTCAGCAAAAGTCCGGTGTGTAAAGTCAATACGGGTCGACCTTTTTCTTTTGTTACGAAAGGACATTTTGGTAACACGCATGGGGTCCGTCCGTTCTCGGAGTGGGGGGGCCGGGCATTTAATCAAGTGCACGTTGGTTAATTCTTGGGTAATTCTTGGGATAGAGTTAGTTTTATTTACTTTATTATGCCTCCGCTACAAAGTAGTCGGAGGCATTATGTTTTCTGGTTGTCCGTCCGTCCGTTCGTCCGTCCGTAGTACCGTACGTCCATCCATACGTCTGTTCGTCCGTACGTCCCGTTCTCGTGATCGCGTTATCTCAAGAACCGATTGATGGATTACAGCCAAACTTGAATCATGCATGTATCTTGCAGAGCCAATGAACTGATTAGATTTTGGGTCACAAGATCCAAGGTCAAAGGTCACAGGGCTCATTATGTATGCAAGATAGCTTGTTATCGCGTTATCTCTAGAACTGATTGATGGATTCCTGCCAAACTTGAATCATGCATGTATCTTGCAAAGTCGATGAACTGATTAGATTTTGGGGTCACGATGTCAAAGTTCAAAGGTCATAGGGCTCATTATGTATGCAAAATAGCTTGTGATCGCGTTATCTCAAGAACTGAATGATGGATTACCGCCAAACTCAGGTCATGTATGTATCTTGCATAGCCAATGAGGTGCTTAGATTTTGGGGTCACAAGGTCAAAGTTCAAAGGTCACAGGGCTCATTATGTATGCACAGATAGCTTGTGATCACATTATCATGAGAACCAAAAGACAGATTACTATCAAACTCAAGACATGTATATGTATCTTGCAGAGCCAATGAACTGATTAGATTTAAGGGTCATCAGGTCAAAGGTCATGGGGCTCATTAAGGATGCCTATAAATAGCTTGTGAATCCATTATTAAAGATGACAGATGGATTACAATCAAACTTGAATTTTAAAAGTTGCCTCCGTTTTGGCTTGTAAAATTGCTCTATGGTTGAGGCATCATTTTCGATTGCGCGCAGTTGAAGTTCCATCTAGTCTTTGAAATCGTTTAACCCTTACTGTACTGGGCTATTTTGAGCACCCACTGACTGGGGGGGGGGGGGCCTCCCAGGCCCCCCCCCTATCATCTCAGCCGTCGATTGTCCGATGAACACGAAAATTTGCATGTTTGTATATATCTACGTAAGGAACAAGTTGGTATAATTAGTTTTTTCCGAATATGCAAATTTTTGTCGTTAGCCTAATTAATTATGCAAAATGCGCTAATTTTATGCATTTTACAGAAAACGTGTCAAACTCCACTTTTTGAATGTGGAAACTCATTTTTCATATGAAACTTCTTTTTAACACAAAAAAAAGTTATTTTAATGTAATTAATAATGATAATTTATGCAAATTTTTATGCGATTTTTATTTTTTTATTTTTTTTTTGATGACATGCGCATACTAATTGTTATGTAACGCCTTACAGGTATATCCGATTTCGACGAAAATGGTATCAAAATGTGCGTAAGACTTGTGGGAAAAAAGTCATGAAACGACAATTCAAAATTCCAAGCGGTTGCGGCGCAATCTCCGAAAATGTCGAGGGGGGGGCCTCCCAGGCCCCCCCCCCCCCAGTACAGTAAGGGTTAAGTGAATTTAGCATTGAATGTAGCTGTTGAAGTTGAGCCTGTACTGTCAAGGGTTATTTTGATTTTTGGTTTATTGGGGTTAACAAACTGCCTTCACTTCATAAAACAAACTACTCACTATTTAGAGAATGCATTAAATGTACATACAGCATATACTTATAGAAAAGGTTGAGTCCTGGGGAGAGGTGAAAAATAATTTGTGAGCATTTTTATTGTTGGTATGCAAGTGTGGAAGAACATCAGAGAACAAATGTTCCCTGAAAAGCACAGCTCTTCAAATGCCTTCATATTCTAAATATGACATGTAACAGTTTAAAAATTCGGACCACATGTTTGTGTAGTCCCATATTCATCTTTATGTGTACAATGCTTGTTACTTTTACCAAGACTGGGCCAAATTTCCTATCATTTTGATAATTCCAGAACCTTGCAAGACACACCAATACTTATATGCTACATGATTAATTTTTGTTATCAATTCCACATTGTTTCTTTTACAATGCAATCGCACGACCAGAACTCAACTTTATCTTTAACCTAGTTTTATTGTTTCTTCTTTCATCTCGTCTAGGTTGGTTGGATATATACCGACCTAATGGCTGATGATCTTACCAAAGGAACAGTCAAACATGTCAGGAATATGGTAAGCAGAAAGCTGTTCATCTCTTTCTTCCTTATAGAGCCATTCTCTTGACAAGGTGTCATACTTTAAAAATAAAAAGAGGGGCGAGGGCAGTTACCTTAAATGATTTAGCAACATTATTTCTAGAGCTAAAGTCTAAGAATCAAAATGTAAGGTGAAAAATGCTGTTTTTATCAGTTACCTCATTTCATTCCTTTGTCAAGGATATATCCTTAATGGATTAATTTACTATTTTTTATTTTATTGGTCCAACTTGTATGAGTTAATAAACAATTGTAATTATTATAATTAGATTTAGATTTGGAACCCCCCCCCCCCCCCCCCCCCCCCCCCCCTCCCCTCAAAATTGTAGACCTCATATTTACAAGATATTTGTTTTCTAGAATACGTGGTGTCAGTCCCACACATGCTAATTAATGTAACTCATGCTTTTTGTTTGGAAACGCAGGATGCCCACTTCATGTCAGCGGAAGAGTGCATTATGGCCGGTGAGTTCCAGAACCAGCATCCCAGCCCCTGCAAATTGGCAACAGAGGGACACTTTGGCTCCAAATTTGTCACATGTATAGTAACAGGTATGTGAAGTTTGCAGTGGTCAGAAAATCATGCCATATTTGAATGTTGTACTGAATGTATGGAACAAGACAAAATTTACCTCTTCTTCCATCCCCAAACCAGAAATTAGCTCTTGCATTTTGAAGTTTACCCCATCGTTTACATTTGTGTCCGATTTATCAGTAACAAGGTAAAAACAACCAAAATGGACTTGTTAAAAATTAATGTTATGGTAATGGCTTGCTCAGGAGGTAATTGACACACTTGCATATATATGGTTTACTAGTTCGCAAGTTGACTTAAAAAAATTATTTCAGCCTATGCTTGAAATTCTAAAAACGATATCAACAGCAAAGATTGTTTTTGTAATTTTCACTTTCTTACAGTTTTAAAAACTTACTATTCCTAATTTACGATGCTCATATCATCAGAGGCATAAGATTTAAAAATTATCTGTGAATATTGTTCCATGTGTTTGAAATCCTCCAGGTGATTCTACGAATCAGATACACACAGAGGCGTACCAGGTATCCAACCAGTGTATGGCTCTAGTCAGGGATGACTGTCTAGTGCCTACCATCGATGCTCCGGAGCTAGGCTATATCAGGGAATCTACAAATGAGCAATACGTACCTGATGTCTTCTACTCGGTAAGTTGAAGTGTGCCTACCCTAGTTGCACCCGAGCTAGGTTTTATCAGGGAATCAACCAATAAACAACATATCCTTGATCCTGTGTTGCAAAATGTGATGAAAACTTTGTTTATCTTTGTATAAAATATATCCAGAGAAATTCAGTCTCATTCTCTTTCTCTATTTCTCATTCCCATTATCTCATACAGGAAACTGATAGCTATGGCAACTCATCAAAGCAGTTAGCAAGACCCTTGCCAGTAGAGTTCCTTCTAGTCGATGTAAGTACTACCACCTCCACTTCTCCGTACCATTCAACGATTATTCTGTAATCAGGATGGCAGATCTCTTTTGCTAGGTGACAGTTGATCTTTTTTTTTACTCTCTCTGAGTGCAGTACTTATCATGAGTAAACAAAGTACATCTCACAGAATCCTAAAAATGTGAGACTGAAGACTACAGATATGTGATATCGCCACACAAAGTCGGGTATGAAATAGCATCATAATTGGTAAAGAACGATGAGGAAATTGGGTCAACAGAGCAGATTCATAGAAAATTGGCTTATAGGTGTAAACGTGTGTTGTTGCTTTTCATGTCTTTTCAATTAAATATCTTTTACCACTTGAATCATTCAAAGGACCCATTTTTTGTATGATAAATAATCCAGCATAATTTTACAGTTTTTAAAGTACAGTTCTGTACAGTTGTACTTTTTAAAGTACAGTTTTGTTCCCTAAACTCAGGATCAATTAATGCTCTTCTAGATTCCACTCCAATGGGCATTTACAGCTTTGTGCCTTACGTAGTTTGGTATTCTTTATCAAATATTTGATTTTTTTTTCTTCACAGTTACCGGCTGGGTTTCCCAAGGATGCCACCTTTGCCTTCAACTCCCAGCCCGGGCTGAAACCCTTCCCCATCGAGAACCGGGCGGGTGTAGGAGAGGTGCAGGGCATAGAGGCGCTCACCCAGTACCTAGGACAGTTTGAGAGTGGTCAGCTCATGGAAGCTATGCTGGACTTTCATCTGCTAATCTATCTTGCCACAATGGACCTCCTGCCACTCAGGGTAATGTTGGATTGTTGTAGTGAGGCCTTGTCTGGGTGAGAGGTTGTATTGTGAAAGGTGAAAGTGAGAGGTGTGGATAATCTGGAGATTATGTTGTCGTGTGGAAGCTATACTGGACTTTCATCTGCTTGTCTATCTTGCCACAATGGACCTCCTGCCACTCAGGGTAATATAGGGTTGTTGTAGTGAGGCATTGTCTGGGTGAGAGGTTGTATTGTGAAAGGTGAAAGTGAGAGGTGTGGATAATCTGGAGATTATGTTGTCGTGTGGAAGCTATACTGGACTTTCATCTGCTTGTCTATCTTGCCACAATGGACCTCCTGCCACTCAGGGTAATATAGGGTTGTTGTAGTGAGGCATTGTCTGGGTGAGAGGTTGTATTGTGAAAGGTGAAAGTGAGAGGTGTGGATAATCTGGAGATTATGTTGTCGTGTGGAAGCTATACTGGACTTTCATCTGCTTGTCTATCTTGCCACAATGGACCTCCTGCCACTCAGGGTAATATAGGGTTGTTGTAGTGAGGCATTGTCTGGGTGAGAGGTTGTATTGTGAAAGGTGAAAGTGAGAGGTGTGGATAATCTGGAGATTAGGTTGTCATGTTGAACAAGGATGATGATGATTTGACAGTATCTGATCCATGGTGCTTTGAATAAATATGATTTACTCTATATCTTGCTGTAGTCTTCATAGTCACAATGGACCTCCTGCCACTCAGGGTAATATAGGGTTGTTGTAGTGAGGCCTTGTCTGGGTGAGAGGTTGTATTGTGAAAGGTGAAAATGAGAGGTGTGGATAATCTGGAGATTAGGTTGTCATGTGGAACAAGGATGATGATGATTTGACAGTATCTGATCCATGGTGCTTTGAATGAATATGATTTACTCTATTTCTTGCTGTAGTCTTCTTGGCCACCATGGACCTCTCACAACCCAGGGTAATGTATGATTGTTTTAGTGAGCCTTGCCTGGATGAGAGGTTGTTCTTTTGGATATGACCCGTGTGGAGATGAGGTTGTGATGATGATGATGATGTTTGGCAATGGTAATGATAGTGTTCATGACCATGTACTTGATCATGATAACAGTGACGTAATCTTGGTAATGAAGACAACAATGATAGTATTAAAATGGTCCCTAGATCACTCGTTAAGATCATTGAAGTTGTTATAATTCATTGAAATGGTACATTGACCTGCTTGGCATTAGATTGGGATCGCTCATGAATTTTGCTTGATTCTGTTTTTCATTACTCATCTTTTATTTCTTTTTTATGTGTGTTCGTTTGAAACCAGGACCATATGGATCCCCTGTTAGAAGCACTCAGGTCAAGAGACAAAGACTTGGTGGATGCTTGGTCTAAATGTGAGCAGTGGGCCACAATGGAACACTTCATAGCAGCTCAGGGTGAGTGTAGATACCCATTCACAATGGGGTATAGACTAACTAGATAGGGGTTGACGCTTAAAGGTCGTAGGTCATAGGTCACAGAAATCAAGTCGAGAGACAAAGACTTGGTGGATGCTTGGTCTAAATGTGAGCAGTGGGCAACAATGGAACACTTCATAGCAGCTCAGGGTGAGTGTAGGTACCCATTCACAATGGGGTATAGACTAACTAGATAAGGGTTAATGGTTAAAGGTCATAGGTCGCAGAAATCAAGTCGAGAGACAAAAACTTAGTGGATGCTTGGTCTAAATGTGAGCAGTGGCCAACAATGGAACACTTCATAGCAGCTCAGGGTGAGTGTAGGTACCCATTTACAAGGGGATATGGACTAACTAGATAAGGGTTTATGGTAAAATGTTAAAGGTCATAGGTGACAGAAATCAGTTTATTTCAAAATTATGGATTGATTTCAACTAAAGGTATGGTGAAGAAAGAAAGCGGTAAGGTTGGACTATTAAAATGAGGAGGAAGCTTGAGACAAGAAGTGGAGGGAGGTAGTGTCATGATGGCGGGAAAAGTTAGTAACCTGTTGTAAGGGCAAAATTGCTGACTTTAATAAATGATGATGATGATGGTGCATTGTGTAATTTGAGATTGCTTCTTCATTATGATTTGATTCAGTTTTTTTTAAATCTGATTTGAATAGATCATGGATTCAAAACTGCAGCCTACAGACTACTGACCATCTTTAAAGGCATAGTTAGTCAAGTCTGGCCAGTTACATTCAAATTTAGCATGAAGTGCGAATAATGAAACATGCAATACAATGCTTAGTGTTTTACTTGTTTGGAATATGTTAAGTTGCAACTTTTTATTTCAAGAGGTCCCATGTCAAGAAAGCTAACGGCAACACCTTCATTATCAGTTTCAAATGCAAAATTTATTTCCCCACTGTCACCAGGCCCGTCAGCGACTGGAGAGGCTGCGCCCAGCACCAGCGGGGCGACCGGGACCAGCACGTCCACCTTCGTATCAGGGACATGGACATGTGAAAGGTGCACGTACATCAACCAGAATTCTGCTGCAAATTGTGAAATATGTGATGGTCCTAGGGGCTAGATCGCAGACCCCTCCCTGTCTAGTTAAACCACTATGTCCTGTCTTAAATTTATCCAATTCGTATGTTTAAAAAAAGGTGAGAGCACTGACTAAAATAATACAGAAATTAATCATTTATGATGATATGGTAGTGAGGAGTATTACAAATAGAAAGTGGAAAGAGTCGATTGCAAATTTTTCCATAATGGAACATGAATGCCTTTTCAGTTAAAAGTGCTATGAGTTTATATGCACCTTGAAAAGTTTTATTGCTCAAATATAGACCATTTTCAAACAGTTACCAACTTCTAGCTATATGCAATACCCTAAGGTTTATCATTTACTCAGTCATTTATTGCTGATGATATAATTTTATTCACTAAACATTGGTGAAGTCTTGATGTCTTTGTGAAGGATTCAAAGGGCAGACAGAGTCATGTTCCTCGATTCAGTTCTTAGGGTCTAGAATAGCAGATACCCTGGTACTGTACTCCAATCAAATGCTCACGAGGTGAAGCTCTTTACATCTTTATAACAGGATCCTATAGAAAGTATTTAATCAGTTCAGTTGACATTATATGAGGTACAATTGAATGATTGAAATGTTACAATCACCGAAACAAAATATGTTGTGTATACAGTAGGTAATATTTATAAAATCAACCTCAAAAAATTTACCCGACATTCTATAGGTAAGCAGTTATTGGAGTATGATGAAAATTAAAGGGAACTAAAACCTTCATACTAAGTGACTTTTATTGCAAAGTTTAAGATATTTGATAAATATCAGTGAAAATTTGAACAGAATCGGGCAAGGAATAAGGAAGTTAGAGCTTTTTGAAATGACCAGTCACTAGAGGGCAGTATTCAATTTGATGACATCATCTGTGGACAACTCTCCTTGCCTTTTGTACATCAAAGTTCATGTTTTTCCTTCTTTCTTGTGATTGAGATAATCTACTTCCCTGAAAGTAAGATATAGAATGCAAAATGATATTCTACTTCACATGTTATGAAGTCGGATCAAGAACACAAATTAATATGAAGAAAACAAAAAAATTGTGAAATTTTATGTACAAAAGGCATGGAGAGTTGTCCACATATGATGTCATCAAATTGAATACCGCCCTCTAGTGACTAGTCATTTCAAAAAGCTCTAACTTCCTTATTCCTTGGCCGATTTTGTTCAAATTTTCACTGATTTTATTCAAATCTTTTTAACTTTACAATAAAAGTAACTTAGTATGAAGGTTTTGGTTCCCTTTAATAATAGATATTAAATAGCACGAAACCCTAGTCTGATTGCATGCTAATGTACTCAACAAGAAGTATTACTATTTCCTGAGTGTGTGTTTAAACTGCCATATCTTGTTGAAGCTCATAATTTGAATACCCTAAAGCGACATGGAATCCCTTTATACATCAAGAGCAAAAACGTGTTTTGGTGATCGGTACATGCTAAAGATAAACTTGTGTTCCGGAAAATATAGAAAATAAATTCTCACAGAATCCTATGAAACTTACACTGAATGTTCAAGGTTACAAATAAATGAAACTTTGGTAGAAAATGTATAGTGGCTGAGTAATGAGCATATAAAGATGTGGAAATCCAGGTACCGGTAAGTAGGCCCAACACCATGTGCTAACACAGGTCACTTTGTGTTAATTGAAGTTGTGGTTTTTATCGAAGATGATGCCCAGTTAGTTTGGTTTTGTTGCTTTTATTTCACTGGTTCAAACAACCAATCTACTGCAGGATATACAATCCAGAATAAATCACAGCAATTTTCTCTCAAAATATGATTCCCATACCAGAGCTCAAGATTAACTTTAATTACTTTTATGTTATAGGATTATGTAACACCATAGACAAGGCACTTTACCTACAGTTGGCTGTTGTGACCCAGGGTGTAATAATGAAAACCGGGCATGATTTATTCCTATACATGGAGATTGTGACTCCCATGATTTGGAGATAGGATAATCCTTTCCTGCCCACGTTTACATAACATAGGGATGTTGTGTCATAAAATACTAAAACAGAACTATTGAGTGTTATTGCTAGCACCTGTATCATTATTGTCTTGTATTTCCGACTTCCAACTCTGTATCCAACAACAAACAACAAGGAGACAGATTTTATCACTTTTATCGTAATTATTGGACACTGCACACCTTAAATGAGGAGGTACCAATCACCTAATAAAAAAATTGTGTTTACCTAACCAAAATGTACAACAAAAAAAACCCCAATATTATTTACCTTACATTTTATGTTAAGGAGTGTGAAGTAAACAAAAAACAACATAGAACCGCCTGCACGGAACCCGAGTTGGTCATACAGACAGGCCCTATTCCGTGCATGGGGTATGGTTGAGTTGACTAGTCTACTCACAAGTCACTTTTATGTTAATTTTGTAACAACAGATTGCAGGACCTGATGTTGCCATCAAAAAGAGAGAGTCTGTTTAAACTTGCAGTATCTCTTGATAGAAGTGATATTTGCATCTCATATTTTTTTTCAGAATAGTTTGGCAACAAGGAAGCCCTATATCATACAGAATACATATATTTTGTTGTGATTGGTACGCTTTAAAGACAAATCCTAAGTGGCTGTTACAGAGAGGCTATATGGCTGTTTACTGTGTACTCGATTAAGTCTTATGTTACCAATATACTAGATTTGTAAGACGTGAATGAAGTCTTTAATGTGCCACATATGTTTGGTATTAGTTGGGTATCCATACTTGTGGAAAGTAAGAGAAACACAATTGCCACATCATGCCAAAAAAAAAACACTTTGGAGATGCTATCTGTGCATGGGCAGATGAAGGTCAAAACAAAACAAAACAAAAACAAAACGTTGAAACAATGAGTAAAACCCATCTAGATGAGAGCTGGATATGTGCTCGGAAAAGTTACGCTTCATTATTCATTTATGTGATGAATGCAAATTCCATCATACTAAGGTGGAAGTATTCTTTTTTAGACCATTATCACTTTGAATGTGATTATCATAAACAATTGTTAAAAATAGGATTTCTCCATGTTTGAAACATTTTTTTAATCTTTGGGGTCATTTTTGCTAGTGGTATCTTTGAACTGGTCTGTTGAACGGTGGTTGTGAGAACACTCTGTTGTTGCCATTCCCTTTTGGCAATACATCTAGGCAGTAGGCAAATACCATTTTTTAAGAAGGGGGGGGGGGGGGTCAGAAATAATTTCACTACTACCAATTCACTTATTTGTAGATATTGTTATTTATATTTTAAAAGCAGATATTTTCAGTAAAATTTCATGTGGAGATACAACTTTAGATTACATTGTTGGTTCCAAAATGCTTTTAAAAAATGAAGATGTTCCCTGATTTGAAGCCTCATTTTGTATCTGTGTTTGATGATGTGACCTATTTCCAACCATCTCAAATTTGCCATAGTTGACTTTGAAGTTACATTAATTTGATACCACAAACTCCATACTCATCAGCCAATATTCTACTAAAAGTTAAACCTGTCACTGGGCTTGTTCGAAATACAGTTTAAGAAGAATTTTCTTTGTTAAACGTGATCATAGACCCAGCATTCGGTTTAGCTGAATTAGTAAAATATGGATCATTATGTTTAAAAGAAATCTCCCTTTATTCCTTTTTTGTTAATTCCACTATAAATTATTATATTCTAAATCAGCAAATGTTGGAGTGAATGTGAAGATTATATTGTCTTGTTTGAAGAAAAAAAAAATGTAATTTTTGTAAAGCAATGGAAAATGTGTATCTTTATTTTGTCAGTTTTTATGGAGATTTTGATTATTGTAATATTTAAGAAGTTGATTTATTTAAGATCTTTGATATGGACGTTGCTTTGTTGTATTTCATCAGAATATTGATTAAAACTATTGAAAATTGGCATTGAAATATGCGAAGCTCATACAATGTATATATCTTTCAATATTTTGTGTCGTGCTTGGATTCGGGAATGACTGAGACACCAGTATCATGAACTAGTCCTCCATTTAGATAGTAGTATCAGTACATGTTGCAGTAGCAGTAGCAGTAGTAGTATAATAAGTAGTAGTAGTAGTAGTGAGTGAGAGAGAGAGAGAGAGAGAGAGTGAGAGTGTGGTATCATTACATGTTGCAGTAGCAGCAGCAGTAGTAGTAGAATAAGTAGTGGTAGTAGTAGTAGTAGTGTGTGAGAGAGAGAGAGTGAGAGTGTGGTATCAGTACATGTTGCAGTATAGCAGCAGCAGTAGTAGTATAATAAGTAGTAGTAGTAGTAGTAGTGAGAGAGAGTGAGAGTGTGTGGTATCAGTACATGTTGCATTAGTAGTAGAATAAGTAGTAGAAGTAGCAGTAGTAGTAGTAGTACTAGTAGGAGAGAGAGCAAGAGAGAGAGAGATAGTAGAAGTAGTAGTAGTAGTATAGTAGTAGTAGTAGTAGTAGAGTTAGCAATGTGCAATAGGTATGTCTTTAAAAAAATATAACCAGGTAATTTTGATGGTCCCAAAGAGTTATAAACATTTGTTCTAAAACCTAATACTAGAAAATATTTTGAGAATCAAATTTATAAAGTTCAGCTATCTCACTCCCTGTCCCTCTCCCTTCTACCTCCGTCTCTCTTTGTCCTCCATCCTCTCTCTCTCTCTCTCTCCCTCTCTCTCTATCTTTCTCTCTATGTTTCTCTCTATTTAATTGGAGCATAATACCATACACGATGCAACAAATTGAGGTCCCTGGGCAATAACAGGAAACTAAGTGAATAAGCAGATCCAAGTCCAAGGTTCTCAAACATTCCTGTAAAAAAGTATAATCATTCCATGGTGTAACTCAGTCTTCATACTAGTTTGTCTAAAATGGAGCTGTACACAGTGCTCGACTATGAGCGACTCGCCAAAGAGAAACTGGACAAAGATGCATGGGAGTATTTCAACTACGGAAGGGAACGAAAGTGGTGCTTTCAGGATAGCATCGAGGCATTTTCGAGGTATGTCGAAACACGATCGCAAAATCCTTCGAGAAATCAACTGGAGGGTTATGTCAATATAAAGCCTTTTGTAGTTTGTAGATATATATATCTCATCCATGAATGCATGTTTGATTATGTAATATGTCACTGTAATGCTTGCACATTTCAGTAGGTGATAAACAGGGCTGTTGAAATCGCCTGATATTGATTTTTGGAAGACTTTACAATCGTATTTCAAAGCCCTCTCTGCACTAGTTTGGCATGAAGGGATTAGACCTCCCCGCAAGGTCACTGGCAGCTCTCAATTAACATAAGAAAAAGGGCATCATAGGGGATCAACGGGTACCGCTTAGGCATTGTTGGCTGTATAGAGGGCGCAAGTAGATATAGTACGTAGTGCAGTTTAGCTTTAATATGCGACCAATCTTATACCGTAGTTATCGCAGAAACTATAAAAAAAAGGGAGAAAAGAAAAATAATGAAGAATGGGATCAAGACATTTGCAAGTACCTTTGTACCGGAAGCGCGCCGGAAGCAGTTTGGGATTTTTTTTTTTTTTTTTTTTTTTTTTTTTTTTTTTGGGGGGGGGGGGGGGGGCAAACATTCCAGGGGGCTCACCTTCCAGAGGCAGTAGCGTTATGAGAAAACACATTTGGAAGGGGGGGGGGGTAGAAGAAAAATCTGCATCACCACCACTCCTACACGTTTCATGCAGGCCCCGCGGAACATTTTTCAAAGTGGAGTATTATAACGATCAGGTAGAGCGTAAATTGGCGTGGGGTCAAGGGGCTGAGCCCCCGG